TGAGCAATATAAAATAAAGTATAAAGCGAATTTAAGTATTTAATTGAAGGTAAGGACTTTAACGCCTTTCTAAATTGGTATTAGCCTTTGGGTTTACCTATTTAGGCACGGAACAACCTGTCCCGATAGTTTATGAGAGAGAAATAATGCCTAACATACAGGCAGTAGATAGCAAAAGAAACATTTATGTGGACGCGGTCTAAGCAGGCTAACCATTTTTTTTTAACAAAAAGATACAAGTAGACTTTAATTTAAATACCGCTTATAAATGGATAAATATTACTACTTCTAATAGCAGATAGAGCGGTATGTAGTTCAGGACCTGAAGCAATGCATTACAGTTCTGTTTTCACTTAGCCAAGCAAGTTGCCATTAGTGCTTGTTTAGGGTAACTAACGACATGATTCTTTATATACTATTTGAGATTGTGGAAAGAGGATCCTATTGACTCGAATATTCCAGCTTGTGGCAAACGTGTAGGCTTCTGTCGAAAAGCCCGAGATACTTATTTCCCCTAAGAAAGACCTTCAAGTTCCTGGGCCATCTAACCAGAGTCGCCCCTCTCTTATCGATACCGCTAAAACGAGGGGCAAGCTAACCAACCCGGTCGCCAAGGTTAAACTTAGGCAACCAGATGTCCTTGGGCCATTCTGCTCGAGTGCCCGTTCTTATGAACGGTTGAGGCGATCAGCATCGGGGTTTTCCAGCCTCTGTTATTCAGAATCACAGTCAAAAAGGGGGTGCTGTACCGTCGCGCCATCGGGTGCACCGTGGATGGAATACTGAACATGAAACTACTATCGCCCGCTACAGCCACAACCAGTCGGCTTGGATGAGCCATTGCAACTCCAATGGCAGCTCCGCCGTGCCAACCCAGGGCGGCTGCGCCAGAGGTCAAGCACGTCCCAGGCTACGAGCGCATGAGCACGCCGCATGTAGGGCGATAGTTGGAAATGGCCTTACTTAAGGCAATGGTCTCAGGTGTGAGGTGTTTACGCAATCTGGACAAAGCAAAGTGGGTAGTGATACCCGTAATAGGCTGCACCTCTAATGACCGGACTCTATTATGAAATGCACCTCAGAACCACATTTCAAGAATCTCTGTTGCCATTTGAGCTATAAACTACTTTCAGTAACTCTGAAAGCAATACAGAATCTTCCCTGTATACTGATAATACATCAAAGACCTATGCTAATACACAAAGATGAAATCCTCGTTCTTGATGTCAGTCATATCCTCAAAGTCGTGCTCATGTGCCTCCGTTTCTTCATTACTCTCAAGCTCAGCGGCAGCAGAACCCCGAAGCATGGATCGATCGACGAGTACCTCAGACTTGCCAAGGGCGACGCGCCTGCGGGCGTGGGATTTGTTGAGAAGAATCAGGTAGAGGGTGATGATACTTTTTTATTGATCAGTTACTTGTACATGGTTGGCATCGGGAATTGCTTACATTGTGAGAATTATAACAAGGACAAACATGCACAAGTTGGAAATGAGACCGCTGCGGTAAAGCGGAGCTTGGTCAGTGCTGTAGAGGAGAGGTCCAATTACCTGTGCAATTGGTCAGTATGCGCAGCCAAAGGTGTGATTCTTCTGGGTCGCTCACGTTACCAGTACACAAGCCAACAAACATGACACCAGTGGTGACCTTTCTCTTGGTATCACCGGCAGTGTTTTGGGCTTCCCAAGCAAAGATTAGGGGTGTGATTCCGGGATAGACGGAGATCTAAAAACTTGTTAACAATGTTTTCCATGGCTAGTAACAACCTGAAGCGCTTACGATATAGTAGGCGAACAGCAGAATGCCCTTTTTGTCAGGAGTGTGGGGGATCGTCAGAAGCAAGACACATCCGATAATGGGAGTGATGCAAAGAAGTATAATGACAGGACCCTTGCGGCCGAGCCTGGTGGCGAGCCAACCGGACCCAATAATGGCGCAAAACTGGACTGCTCCGAAGGGAATGTTAAAGAGGACGGTCTGGAACTTATTATAGCCAAAGGACTTGACGATAAGAGATCCGAAAGTACTAATACCACCACTGGGGATGGAAATGGTGATGACGAGGAAGAACCAGCACCAGGTCTTGAGATCAAGAACAGATTCCTTAACATGGTCCCACTTCCACTGCCGGGAAACAATACCCATCTGATTCGATCGGAGTCTTTCAATAGTAACAACCTTTTCTCGGTCACCAAGGAACTTCGCTTCCATTGGGGAGTCGGGCATGAGGAAATAAACGGGGATGGAGTAGATAACGGTAAGGAGACCACAGAAAAGGAAGATGATCTGGGACTTAGTTAATGGGGGAAGTTTTGGTTTTCTAGGAGAACCTTACCTGGTAGGAGAAGAGAGTGCTGCTCTGGATGTGACCAAGTCCGAAGGTGAAGAGACTGCCGATAATGAATGTTAATCCGTTCATACCACTCCAGTACGAGGTTCGCAAAGTCTGCTCATTTCTCTTCCACCACATCTGTGTAACAGCAATAAGAGAGGGAGCTATAAACATGTTAACGAAGTTCCCATACTTGCCATAATCAAGACTTGGAACACAGCATACCAATAAGAGACTCAAAAGTTCCTAAAAACAGACGCATAACCAGAAGCGTCTTAAAAGATGTACAAGCACTCATAATGCAGAGAGATGAACCCCAGAGAAAAATAGTAGCGGCTATGACCTTTCCAGTGGGCAATTTGACAAGAGTCAAGGCAGCAAGAGGTTGGGCAACCAGCTGAGCAAGGTACAGAGACGAACCAAGCCAAGAAAACTGCTTTCCGTGAAGATGGGCGTCAGTGGCGATGTCGAAAACAGAGGAATATGAAAGAGTTGACTTGTCCAGTTGCTGGAAGAAATAGGCTATGAGGATGAGGGGCAAGATTCTCCAGTCGATCTTTCGAAGAACGGCCTTTTCTTCCTCAGGTGTAAAGACGATAGGTCCAGTCGCGGACAATTCCTTAAGGAACAAGGCCGCCTTATCGGTTGCCTTAACAGGAGTGATGTTATCTATGCGGTCGGCGTGCTCAGCCGCGGGAGCGGCGGTGACATCGTCTTCCTCAACATTCTTTGACATAATGTCCAAACCTTTGAACTTCAGGTAGTTGAGATGTAAAGATGTTGCTTAAAGGTGTGGAGACTTGGAGAATGATGAATGATTGAAGAAATCTAGACCTTCAGTGTTACAAGTGCGAAGCAAGTTAATATATTACAAGGGGGCGCTGGGGAATGTAGCTAAGACCTGTAAGTCTCAAACCCCATTCATTAAATCTGCGATAATGTGCGGGGGAATATGGGGCCCCAGGCAATTCGACGTGTCAAAGTTTGCTAGCTCAAAAAGCAGTTTGGGGTACCCTAGCCAGGGTAGTCAAAAACATCTAACGGGAATGTATGGCATTAGCAGGTTCTCGTGTCAGATGTGTTGTGCTACCTGACTGCCTGGGAGAAGAACTTGCAAGGATGAATGTCATCGGCGAGAATTCCGACAGTGTTAGCTTGACCTTTTAAAAGCTAGCAACGTTTCTGTATTAGGAAGAGTATATCTATCCATAACTTGTAGCCCCTTAATTAGACATTTTTAAATGGCTACTATTAGTTCCTTAAGATAATAAGACCGAGGCCTTGGGAGTTAGTAAGATGAATACTGGATATATTTATAGACACTAGTATCAACAGGTTTCAGATAAGGAAAGGGTTTTTGAAATAAAGTCATAACAGAGTATTTACTTCTAGTCAAGAGCCTCCGCAGACCGCGCGCCATACCTTGGTAAAGGAGTACTTAATCGTATGTATTTACGGATACACCGGTATGTAGCCCTGCTCTACTCATCTTTAATTCATAAGGTCCTTCGCGTACCTTGGATGGATGGTTACAGGCTGACAGTGATGGTTGACTCGAGTCTTCAACCCCCAACGGATAAAACGGCAACTTAAACGCCTTGTAACAACGGAAGCGCATTTCCGCCATCACATGGTCAGCTTGAGATCCACTTCCCCTCACATGCCACGGGAAGAACCGCGAAGACTAGCTACTATGCTGTAAGTTTTAGCATGCTAACCCTTTCTGGTGGCGCGGGGTCAAAGGTAAGTCATGTTGAGTTGCTTCAAGCTTGTAATATGTTAGTTTGATATTGTATACTCATCATTCAAACGATGGAAGAGAAACCTACTATTTCATTCATCGAGTTAGCGTTCACAAGCTCGGTTATTCCTCTGGTCAAACTCAGGGTGTTGGGTGAAAAGCACCGGAGTCCCTGCGAACTGTTTTGTTGTGTTTTCCCCATCCCCTGTCCGTAGCCGGGTTGCGCTTTTCAGTGGACCTCGACCAACTCAACTAGGATGAAACAGCCAAGGGATTTGACTGTGCTATGTCCAAAGGGTGTCGGATCACTGCACTAACCTTGCCATGACTTCTCAGCTTCTCCGACTGCCGATGAATGAGCTAAAACGGTTTAATGAGCAATTATCAAACTTCTGTCTTAGAATTGACGGAGATCTTGTGACAGGAAAGGTAGCTAAGGCCAATGATTGTTCTTGATTGATTGAATACTCAGAATGTGACGTTTCGGCCAGTATACTATACTATCTGATTCTAACAGTGTTGGATCTCGGTATGGTCTCTGAGAGCAAGGAGACAATACCATGTAAATGCCGTGCTGAAATGCCGACCAGGAATAATCCCCCATCTAATTGACAGGATTGGGTTCGTAGATTGGGGGTCAAGCAACCCTGATATCCAATCAATCCCTCTACCCGCCCCCACCATGAAACTAAACAAGACGGATAAGACCTTTGCCGGCCTGTCTGAGCTGAACAAATTGCGCATTATCCCACTCAAGCGACAATGTCGTTCTGATAAGGCCATTCCCCTCCTGGTAAGCTGAGTTTCCTGCAGTTGATGGCAAGCATATGGGCGACACAAAATGGTACAAGGTTTCCTGCAGTCTTCTCACTCGTGCAAAACTGAACTTCCCCGGACAGGTGATCTTGGTACTTGTCGAAGTTGTTCATTTAGTCAAGTCGTGATCTTTGGACCATTTGAAGATGGCGACCTCTCCGGTATTCCACATCTCACTGATCATAGCAGCCTCAATCATGGATTGAACCCTTCCGCTATCCCATATGGTTTCCGAGTCAGCCTGTGCAATATCCTGGTTGGCCCAGATACCGGACTCAATAGCGCGAGCCAGCTCCGAGCCACGCGCCCTATCATTGTTGGGTGGCGTCTAAACGAAGTAGCGGTTGAATTGCGCTGCCATGGCCTTTCTTGTCCATTCAACCATATCGCCAAGGGCCTTGTCCAGGCTCGCAAATGACTTGAACTGCGGGCTCGGCTCAGTCGAATCTGCTCCAAACGAGGCAGCGCCGGCGCCAATGGTCAAGACACCTGCAACAAAGTTGACACCATTAACAAGCATTCCAGGGGCGATACCACCTATTGTGGTGAACATGCCAGCCACGATAGTAAGCCACGCAGCCGGGTTAGCAAGCGCATCCTCGGCCGATAAAGGCAAGAATGTGTCGGCAATAGCGCCTGATGACTTGGATGCAGAGTCCACGCTGGAACATAGTTAAAGTTGTTAGTAAATAAGTCTGTCAAGGGCATAGTGAAGGAACTTGGTCTTACCCATCCTTGACTGCCTTGTACCATTTTTGCTGGAACAGGGCAAAGTTTCCCATGGCCCAAAGGGCAAAGGCTCTTTCCTGGTGTTTCGAACAATCATCTGCCTCCTCAAGAGGATTGACAAAGTCACAAGAGTCGCTGATTCTGTTGAGTTTGTTTGTGTTAGTAAATATCTTGCTTGTTTGTCAGAGGAAGGATAGAGCCACGACTCACGCTCGACAGGATGTATGCCAGTTGAAGGTACGATCGCGATTGAAAACACCGTATTCGGCAATGATACGTGGGACACCTTTCGCGTCATCGTTGGGCCAGCTGTTCTCAGCCGCGCTGTAGAGATCGGTTCTCTGCCTTAGCCAGGTACCGACACCATGTTCGCGCCAGAGACTGGTAGTCCACTTGGCTCCGTTACCTTTGCCACAGAACCAGTCGCCTTCAGGGTCTGGAGAAAGCTCAGGGGGCCTGTAAGTGGGGAAGTCTGCATCTCTCTCATCATCATCTCCTCCTGCGGGGCATACGTTGAACGAGATGTGAACCTGCAGCGCAAGGTCAGTCAGTATAGTCCATTTATATATAGAGCAGGATGAACTCCAAGGCTTACCTGTGCATTGGTGGCCTTGGCGTAGACCATGTCAGCGCGACCTTGGTTGTTCAGACGTGGGTAGTGAGTATCTGGTCCCCGCACCGATCCACGGAACAACCTCTCAGGCCGATCCCATTTAATGATGCTACCCGAGTTTCCAGGTCGCTCAGCCTCAGAGACAACCCTGTCAAAATACCAGACTTGGGTGTCGCCGCTGAACTTGTCTTTGTGGATTAAGTCGGCTTTGCCGTCACCGTTGATATCTGCAAACTGAAAGTTGGCCCGGTCTAGGTCTTCCGTGTACTTTATCTGCCTTGAAGGCTTTGCAACACCGTCCTTACCTCGAATCCAGGCCCAGGCTTGGCCACTTGGGGCCATACAGATGTAATCCGCTCTGCCAGAGCCCGTCAGATCGGCAAAATGGTGGGCGTTGTCAAAAGGTAGTCGTCCAAAGCCTTGAGTGCACCATGCCCTGCCAGGCGGATTGGGGATAATCTGTGCATCCCAGTTATGCTTTCCGTTGTTGTATCGACTGTACCACACCTTGAGTGCACCAGTCTTGAGGTCAGTCACGCCTATGATGTCGTGTTTACCATCTCCGTCCCAATCAGCTAAGTGCAATGCCCGGCGCGGGAGCCCTGTATTGATCATAGATGGCGTTCCCCAAGCGTTAGTTTGGTAAAAGTCGTGTTTGCTCCGCGTATTCTTGTTAACAAACACATTGACTTCTCCGTGCATAGAGATCCAAACGTAGTCGTCTACGCCGGAACCAGTTGTGTCTCCCCAGAAGATACCATCACCTTATAGACAGTTAGCATGGGCCAACATGTCGGCTTCAGGAATGACAAACCTTTTTGTGAAGTACTCCCCTCTCCCTGGTTCTCCCAAACTTGGTAAGTGATTCGGCACGTTATACCTCCATTGCAAAGCAAACCCTCGCGCTGCCAGTTGACATATGAAGGGCGTCCGCTAAATATTCGGCCCCACTTGATGAACTCGCGGTCTTCACCAATGTTAAAGCCACGGCCAGGATGCGTTATTCCGGCCTCTCGCCAGAATGGTTTCATACCCTTGCCGTCTCCTCGTTGGTTGATGAATCTGTCCATTCAAGTCAGCATGTGCGTATCTCAAACCCTCAGTGGTCTACTTACGTCTTGACTTGGCCCTCCTTGCTCATCCATGTCCAGTCATAGCGGCCGCTGTATTATGGTCAGTATGTGTGCCAAGGTTAATACACTAAGAGGTAGCGTCCAAACGTACTCCCCGTTCATATCGACTTCATTATGTTAGCTTCAGTTGATAGTATTGAGGGAGGAAATCCTAACCAAGTTGTACGCCTCGCATATCTCCTGCGTTCTGGGACGCAAAGATATGTGATCCCTGACCCATGTCTTGCCAGTACGCGGCCTTGTCTCCGATACCTCCATTGCGCCAGCAACTGAAACCGGTCAGATCAGACGTCTTTGGTATTAGATGAAAGCATATAACATGACTTACTGAATATTGCCAGCATTCGAGATAACACAGTAGTCTAAGCGACCGTCACCGTCCATATCTCCCAGGCGTACTCGATCGCGGCCGAGGCCCATCTCCTGCCCCTTGTACTGCACCTACGGATTAGCTTGCGATACTTCAATACCATGGTTTGAAATGACTTGCAAGGCCGACGTTCTGAAATGTAGGCGGGCTTCCACCCTTATTGATGGAGACGTATCTAACGTTCATCATTAGCCCCACGATGACTGCTAATAGATGGTACATTTTGTAAGCCTACAACTCTCCGTTGGTCTGAATACAAATGAAATCATCCAAACCGTCACCGTTAACATCACCCCATCTGATATCTGATATCACCTGTCAGTATGTTAGAATGGAGCAGAGTTAATGTACTCAAAAGCGTTGGAACAGCTCATTTTCGGATCGATTGAGAACCCGTCGTTGAACTCTCCGTTCCCATTGTTTACATAGACAGTGAATCTACGATCCGACTTGTCTGAGGGTGCAAGGATCAGCTCATCCCGCTCATCGCCCTTGGGTGAGCCCTTCAGGTTGACGAGTTGGGCGAACCACATATCAGATGTCTTGGTCATGTCTTTGTCGGGCCCACCGCCGATTTTATTGGTGAAGGACCCCTTGCGGTCATCTCGAAGCTGAGATTTGTGCCGGTAGGTGCCGTCGTCACGAATCGCTGGGTCGCTGGCAAAGAGAATCTGCCGACCACTTCTGGGGTCCGACGTGCCGCTTCCAAACTTCTTACGGCAAGTTCTAGAGCTCTCGCCATCCTTGAAGAGGCTGCTCTGCTTAGGTTCTTTAATCCAACCTCGGTCGTTGGCAACACCGATCGCCCTGTCACGTCAGTCTAAGTGGTGACAGAAGTGTAAAAGTTTAGGGGGTTTTAATACCTCCTTTATATCTCTTTTTTATTATTTTTTAATACTAATATTAGTAAGTATAGCATTCTGCTATTTATTAATTTATACCTATAAGGTATAGATAGTATTATAAAGCTATTAGACTTTAGCTGCTATTTTAGTATTATTAAATAGTATTTTAATATAAAGAGATATTAAGGTGCTAGTATTACTACTTAAACAGAGAAAGCGCTGCTGATGCCTCCATTTTGGGCGGAAAGTGTCGCCGTTTTTGGAGGCATCAGCAGTGCGGGGGGAGGAGCGACAAGAGGGGGAGGACATGTACTATATACCTGCGCAGCCCCTGGCGCACAGATCCCCTGCACGTGCCAGGGCCGCTGCGGAAAAGACACGCATCCCCATTTTGGTTCCCCTCCATCAGCGACAGGGCGTCTAATTTCAGCATCCTTTGTGCTCTTTGCGTCTCCTGCTGCCCATATGCTGACCACATTGAGTCCATTACTTGCCGCCCGGGGTCGACCCTCGCGAGCATGCCATGAACCTCTTGGACCATAAATAGCGACATGGACCACCTTTGGATCCCTCATCGATCTGCTCTCCCTCTCGTTCACTTTCTTCACTGGTCCTCGCGCTCATTCCATTTCTCGCGGCTGTTGTTGATCACCAGTCTGCTTACCTTCGTTGAATGCCAAGCAACCCGATGACCACCAGCGCGACTACGGCCAGAAATGGTCTGCACCAAAATCATGCATCTTTCCTCGAGCGCTTCAATACCCGACAAGTACAAAATCGAGCCGCAAAGCAGAAACCCACGCTCTCGGTGGAAGAGCATGCTGCTCACCGCGCGCAGCTCGGCACCGTGCGCTTCATCAAGCCCAGATACTCTGAGCAGACCGAGATCAACGTCAGCGGCATCTTTAACAAATGGAGGCGGTATGTGATAAAGACCGCATCGCTTCTCTGCAACCTTTTCCGTGTACTGACCTCCTCACGCACAGCTACTGCGTTGACATGAAGGTCGGCGAGTGGAAGGCGATGCTCGAGAACCTCGACCGCGGGACGACGCAGGACTTCCTCCTCTACGTCTGCGAGCGGTACAAGATCACATCATGGGGCAGCGGACATGAGTACATTCGCCAGTTCCAACAGCTTTATACGACGGTAAATGGCCAGTATATGGATCGGAACGACACCAAGGAAGTGTACAAGGTATGTCGGGAAGTCCTTTCTGCCTGGCTGTAGCAGTACACCAGAGCACTGCTTAGGCCCGTTCTTGAGCTCTAGTAACAGGCAGCCAGTATTATCGCAGCGTCCTCGTTCCACGATTCGGACACCGCCCGCCGAACATCGATGGCAAGCCGGTACTCAATGTCGATAACCTACGAGTCATCCTGACGTTTAACATCGCGTACGATACAACTATCTTCCCAGGCGAACGGCACCGCATCAACCTCGCTGGCTGCTACCAACTCCTGTGTTATACGGGCGCACGGCCGGCCGAGCTGGTAGATGGTGAACGTCAGAAGCCAAAGGACGGTTCCATCCAAGAACTTTTTGGTCAGAATGCAGTCCAGTCGTCTTCGTCAGCGAGCAGTGAAGAGCAGGAAACCCCTGCGGATGAACAGTCCAAGGTTCTCAATGGCCTTCTCTGCCAAGAGACTGTGGGACGCGGGCGCCCCAAGGCCCTCTGCTACGAGGATATTCAGATGATGATCGTCCGACACCCGGCCACTGGACGATGCATGCCAGCCATGGCCATCAAGTTCGTTCATCATAAAGGCGCTGACAACAAGCCCAAGCCGTAAGTTTCTCGTGCTTGTTGTCCCAAACGGTGAGCATTCGGGCGTTCTGTATATTAACAATCGCTGCAGTACCATCTTCTACTTCACACCCACGAGAAAGCTGCTCTTCTGTGCTGTTTCCACGATTATTGCTCTCGCTCTCCACGACAACGCATTCGATGCTCCGAGCTTGACAGATGCAGCCGTTATATTCAGATCGCAGCCACCGCGCTTCAAGCACTGCATCCCGCTCCGATGGAAAAAGTCTATGTTAAAGACCCCAATCTTTCGCCGGTATCGTGGCACGGAGCTCTCTACTGATGAGGCCATGCTGTACTCCAAGCTCAGAGACGACATAGGTCAACAGAGTCTTGACTCGGGACACGAAAGGAAATGGACACCTAGGTTCGCTAGGAGAGGCGCTGGCAACGCGGCTAACGGTGCGTATTTGTACAACACATGTCCCCTAAATGCCGGCTTTATCGCCATGCCATCATTGTTCCCTGTACTGACGATATTCTTCACAGGGGACGCACCCGACTCCGTTCGCGATCAGATGATGCGCCAAGATCCCCGATTTATGACCTTTCAAAGCGCGTACCTCAACGAGATTGCGAATTTCGACATCCAGAACGCGTTTCTAGAAGAAGAGAAGGAGAGCCAGCTGTTCCGCTTGTTCGCACACGTCAGCCTTACGCGTGATCCTCGAGCTACAGCTGATATGGTGCCTGATGAGGTTTGGGCTAACCTGCCGCCAGACCCGGAAATTGTCGAGCTTGAGGAACAGCGTGAACAATTGAAGCAGGGCAAGTACCGCATCGAAGGACATGAGAACGAGGAAGAAATCCGCCGACTTACCAACGAAATCCGAACGAAGAGAGCCTATCGCGAAAAGCAGGTCATCAAAGAATACCGCGAGGAGTACTTTTACCACCGTCCCACTTGGGATATTGAGCAGCAGGCACGGGGCGAGGAAGAGGAGGAGTACACGGAACCCGTCATCGATGTGCATATACCAGAACGCGACCGGCTAGCAAATATTCTTTGCCATCAGCCGGATGGTCTCACAGAGGATCAGGTTCTCGAACAAAGGATCGAAGCTATCCAACTCATGGTGGCTCTGTGCAACAAACGCGAGACGGTCAAGCGCCATCGCGTCCAGCAAAATGCCAGGGCTCCACCGCACATCAAAACCGAACCTAGCGAAGCGGGCAGTGAGCCTGAGCCTAGCCTCAATCAATTTCCTCTCCTCATGCAAGCCGGACAATGCCCGGACTGCATCGGCGACGAGCGGCTCTCCCTCGAGGAGCGTATTTTTACGTACTGCCGTCCAACTGTCAGGAACGACCACTTCGACGACCAACACTTAGTCGAGCGTGAAAGAGCGCTGCAGCGTGGTGAGAGAATGGTGTGCACACACCCTGCTTGTCGAGTTCAGAATCAAGGTCAAGATCTTGAGTTTCACAACATGGATCACTTTCGGGTCCATGTTCAGACGGTCCATCGTGTGACGCTACGGTCGTCGTGCCAAGTGGAGCAAAGGCGGTTGCGCAAGGTTAGGCGTCGCAAGATGGTCATGGAACAGCCTTCACAATAGATGGGGAGTTACAGACACGGTCAACTGTAAAGAGTTTCTGACTTGAAAATCGTCCAGTATAGTGTTTTCATCTATATATTTGCAAGCTTCAGGAAAGACCTAAACTGCCCATTATCAATAATGATTTCACTGTGACAGCCATGACTCCGATGGGACATCGGAGTGGGCCAACTCAGTGTACGATGCTAGTCCCTTTTCCAGGTTCGTGGTGACTGTAGAGTTCCTAGTGATACCATTTCCGGCAGCTTCTCCATCGAGTTGATGCATTGGGATTCCCGCAAAGAAAGGATATGGGTATATAAACCAATGATGCTGACTCCTGTCACGAACGATTATCTCTATCAATGAAGATCTATGATTACTCTACCTTTTACTCGAATTGGCCTCTTGATACTTTTATCTTGAGTCAGCTTCCTCTTCCTGGCCCGCCACCTAACGGCCCACTGCCCCCTGTACCAAAGCGAGGCAGAAATCCCACATACAGCACGAATGACTAATAATACCCTCCAAATTTTGATCACGAAGAACAATGGAGCAGATCTTCAATAGTGGGTAGGCACTTCAAGATAAAGTTTTAAGATACTTACGAATAACGACGTTAGCAGAATTATGTTTGTACAGGCGTACGTTTCTCGTTCATGCTTCTCGTTCCTGTTTGCGTGACCTGGTGGGTGTTGAACGAACAGCCTGACTTGATTTGACAGCTGCTTGCTCTAAATATAACCTACCCATAAGCGCCAAAGTCTAGCAGATGTCAGAGTGGGGTTGCCGTGTCATGTGATGAGGGATTACTGGCAGCTGACACCTCTATAGCAGCGCCAAAACTGGAGCAAGCAAGAAATTGACATACTCGACTACGTTCTCCACTATAGAAGCTTACGCCATGCGTTAAGCACCAGTGGTGTTAATTTTCGCGCCGTTTACTGTCTTCCGTTTTCTGTTTCCAGTTCTCTGTTCCCTGAAGCGCCCTGTCCGCAGGAGGCTTTACCAGAAAGTGCTAGGAGCCTTTACTGGTAATTCCCCCTTGAAATATTTACTGGTAAACTGTTTCTCAACTTATTGGTAAATACTCATCATATTTGCCGGTAAAGGCGTTCCCCCGATTGATATGACAGTGTTCCACTGTGAGTATTCATTGGCCAACTAAAAATAGAGCGCTACACGAGGCTAGACAGCTGGGGTAATACAGCTTCTTTCGATTGCTAGATAAACAACAAGGAGGGAACAAAAATTAACCGATTGTAAGTGTAGTGACTGCCCTAGTGACTACAGTCACAGGAGCCTGGAAACAGGAACCTGTTTGCTGGTACTGTAAACGGAGACGACCGCTCGGCGCTTAGGGGGCGCTGTTTCGCGCGTCAAACTTACACTCAACAACTTGACCTATCTTTAAATTTTTGATCTTGAGAGCTTAGACTCGAGGAGGTTGCAGATAAAAGTCAGAGCATTTTCCAACATTGATCTCTCAGCATGGTTCGGTAGTTACAGGACTCTCACATCTGGGTGATCGATCCCCTGTCACCGTCAGCATGTCAATCGCTCAGCCGACAAACTACGCCACAGCCAGCAATGTGTTCTCATGCGAGACCGAATCAGGTCCTTCAATTGCAACGCTTGCAGAGGGCCTGGTTATGGATGATGTGAAAAATCTTTTTAGAGATAATATAGAGGAACTCTATGATCTCTGGGTGCCTATGGCGCAAAAGTCTACGCTGCCATTCGTTATGGCATCCGATGACCCGCGCATCGTCCAAGAACTTCATAATTTAGTAAAAGAGGCCGAGAGCACAAATATATCGAACTCGAGAGTCGCTTCGGTTCAGCTCACACGACTAATGAATTACCTGGAGAGTCGGATAAAACATGACCGTCGAAGTCGCAAGGTTGTCTTGAAGAGAAGAGCTGACAGCATCGTGACGGACATGTTTGCCAGTACTCTAGGTTCGTCCGCAGGCGGGCCTGTTGTTCGGCGTCGCGCGTTTTGGGGCCGTCGTTTCCATAAGCGGCGAGCAATTATCGCGGGATCAGTGCCAGTCCTTCTTGTTACTTATACAGACAAAGCAGAACGCATTATGTGAGCAAACTCTCCCGATCAATAACTTTCACAATTGCTGATCCACGCGTCGTAAGCCGGAATCTGAAGGTATCCAACAAGACCTTGAGTGAACTGGCAGCTTTTATACACAGTTGTTACCCTACAGAAGTCATACAGGCTGCAGAGTACATTACACAGGTGGGGGTGTCAATCAGGGGGGAGACTGGTGCCGAAGAGAAGCAGGTCCATATCGAACGGCTGAGGAGCATGCTCCACTGATTAGATTTGTTACCCACCATAGTATTTTGTCGACCATGGTACCACGCACCACCACGGTGTCGCGCCTACCATGAGTTAACATATATGTGTTTTTGAACGTTTTCGCCGTGCACCATAGTAGTAAGGCACCATGGTAAGCAAGACACCTTGGTAAATAAGACACCATGGTAAATAAGACACCATGGTAAACAAGACACCATGGTAAGCAAGATAACGAGCTGTAAGATGCTCTTACCTATTTCAGCTAGATGGGAGTCGTAAGCGATCTGACGTACCCGGCGCTAATCTCTTCAGGGACTACCCACATTTTACCTCTGCTCGCGTGGAATTATCAGAGTTTAGGCTTCGGGCTTTGGCGGCGGTACCTACGGCTGATAATAGGCCCTACAATAACCCGGAATGTCCACAGTAGTGAACCAGCTCATCCGGTATCCTTAAGGCGTGCCAAGGTGGCCTTGATACGCAATCACGTGGATTCGTGACATTTTTGTGAGTAACCAACGCTACTGTATGAAAGCTTGATAGCGAGATGAATCGGCATATTTGCTTATCCCTAAACTTTTGTCTACTTACAGAAGGGCCAGATTGATTATCTCCGTAGGCCGTAAGCATTTCTCTACTAGTAGGAGGAAGCCCAGGAATGCTTCATCATCCTTATAAGCTTCCCTCTGCTAGTAGCAGAACCAGATTACCCATTGCCCTGCAACCCTTTTAGGAACTAAGATTACGGCTTATGGGGGTCAGCACATTAGCTGGCTACTAGTAGCTGATGTGTAACGTAATAAAGCAGATGGCACTACTATTTGGCTACTAGTAGCAAGGTACAATAAGAGGTAGATTTGCTTCTATCTACTAGCAGAGAATGTAGCGAAAGTGTACAGTAATGAATATGAATAAACGTCCATCTTCGCTACACTGTAGTAGCTCTTATGTCATACGAGATTATTGATTATCTCTATAAGCATCCCTCTACTGATTGGAAATTTCGTGACTACTCTTCTTTCCCTATTAGTAGCCGGGTTCTGCATTACGATTACCCTGTAAGCTGTCATGCATGATTAATTCACATTTCCGCTACTAGTAGCGATATGGATTACGTCCGTAAGCAGTCACCTTTTGATAAATCACCTGCTTCCTCTACTAGCTTACAAGTGATGGCTTACGGAAGTAGCCTATGCCGGGATCTCATTCACTACTAGTAGCTCTTGAGCTGTATAAGATTATTGATTACCCCTCCCCTCCCTTCTCAGGTATAATGGGAGCTTATGACTACGCTACTTGTAGAAATAGCTTGCAGGTGACTGCCTACCATCATACACTCTTCTCTGCTAGTAGAGCAAAGTCATTGATTTGAGCCTCTCTATTGTAAGCAAGGTTAATTTGGCTACTAGTAGTAAGATAAGGAGGTAGGTTTGCTTCTATCTATTAGTAGAGGAGGTAGATTGGTTATTTCCGTAAGTAAATCAGCCTAGGAGTAAGCAGCTAGAGTTCTATGGCTGACACATCGCATTCTACCAGGTTTCCCCGCATATCCCGCTGCCAAACTTGGCCGCCTGGTGAGTTTGTCGCCTTCTCTGACTGGTTACCTTTGTAATCTCATCGTGCCGATGCTTACGGCCTTCAACTTGTGTCCGTGACTCATTTTGCCTCACAATATTTTATTGCAGAGCACCGTCTTGCTGCTTGGCCAGTGCCAGTTCTGGTAGCGAAATCACTCAACCCGGGTTTCGTCGATATTCTCGTATAAACTTCTTTGGTGATATTTCCTTCAGAAGGGTTATACGAAAGTTTAGAACAGACCCTGTTGGCGATCATTCGTCGGATAAGATTAACCGAAAGCTCAGAGCAGACCCTGCCAGCAATAATTCGCCAGATAGGATTATTCGAAAACCTGGAGCAGACTATGCCAGCGAAAACTCGCCAGAGGCGTTTGCTCGAAATTCTCGGAAAATCCCAGCTATTGAGTCTTCTTACATTGGGATTTGTCGTCTTTGTCGAGCAGACTTTATTGGCGAAGTTTCCGAGACGATGATTATTCGACGACTTCGGCTAGCCGCTAATTCGGGTCCCAATTTTGCCTTGCACGGCCTTGAACTGGGCTAACATAAAGAGCCAAGTTCTAGGGGACTAAAACAGGCCCCCTGTGGATTTAGCATGTCCTTGTGACGCCATCCATTAAAGTCATGCCCCCATATTTAGCGCAGCGGTTCTTGAGCTAATCTGGTCCGTTGGCCTGTATGGAGATCAGACACCAACCCAGTGAGCCCGCTTCTCCGTCCCAGTTCATGGCGCTCTGTCTGGCACGTGTGCCTTTGATCTAGAGGGATGCACACTCACTTCACGGCGCGTCTGGGATGCACCTTTTGTGCCCTCCAAGTCATGGGTGCTATTTCGGGAGCTATGCTATACTTAAGCAGCTAAACTTCAGGTACTTGCTTATGTAAATGGTGATACGAGGTTCCAATTTGTCGCACCCAACACGAGACCCTTTGGGCCACGGAATTGACCGTCAAACCCGCTGCAACACAACAGGGCCCAGTTTTGTGACCTTGTAATATGCCAGCCCAGGTTTTGAGATAGTACATTGCGTCCTGGACCAGTTTTTAGGATAGCACATAATACGACAAGTTTTTGTGGTAGCGGAGGCGTCATGAAATGGAATGCATATATGGGCTACCGGTAGAGGAGATAGAAAGAAGCCTATGAAGCGTTTGATTATCTACCGTATACACCACCATGCTATCTATGAATCCCGATTCCAACTCCCAACAATCTTCTGTAATGCGGCACCGGAGAGACTACCAATAATCTGCCTAGACCCGTCCCCAATCGCTATATTTCTTGCCCTGACTAAACCTTTACCTTCCATGATTATTGTCTGTTGACTGTTGTTACCAACGCTGATATTCTCCATGGCATATGTCTGCATAGGGAAGGCCTGTTCGTTGGCTTGATTAAGCAAGGCACAGTCTATACGCTGCGTTGAGTTGGTTTGAGTGGTACTTGTAAACTCCGAGTCTTCATTGTGCAGAGTGTCTTGTTGAGTTGAACTCCATGAGTTAGTTCGAGTTCCTCGTATCTGTTCTTGTAGCAGCACAACAGACTCTCTTAGCAATTCCGTAGATTTTTCAAGTATTAAAAGAGCGGCATTCTGGAGACGGATAAGCTTTCTCAGAGTATCTATCGATGATTCGCCAGGATCCTAGAAGTCCACCCGTTAACTTTCCACTATCGAGTCCGTTATATACTCTACTTACGTATGCTTGCTCACAATCAGGTTCGTCTCCTGACTGATTTATATCTGTATGAATATATAGCGAGCTTCTTGGTCTGATAGTGATGTTTGGGTTTTTATCAATCATTCTGTTTGCTACAGGTGATGATGGTGCCTTCAGTTGCCAAGATACAGAGATAGAATGAGCTCTACTGACGAAGTGCAAGATACTGCGTATTTATAGACCTTCAGCTTCCGCAACGAGCCCTCAAGTCGAGGCATCGTGGATTGCTACGATCAGTAATGTCAGCACTAGACTCAATTACTTTTTGGCTATTCTTTTGACTGTGCATATATGACGATAGCGCTTGGCGCCACCCATTGCACGAGAGTGTGAAATCTAGAGAGGGAATGCTGGTCTTATATTTTTGATTACTTTCCATGACGCCAGTTATACTAAACTGTAATGCCACCATGAAGCGAGACCGTAAAGAGGCAGCCTCAATGAAGAACTAGTATTATTTCCTAGCTACCAAAAATCCATGACGATATGCTCGCCAGCTACTAACTATTCAAGAAAGTATGGTTCAGAACAGAAAACCGGCGGCGCCTTAGTTTGAGGCCATAACCTAAATGTATTTGGAATTCATCTTAAGTATATTCAAGGCCATGCTGAGGTCAACTACGTCAACCCTGCGGCTAATATCGGCAAAACAAGATATCCTTGCGATGTTAGCCGAAGATGAAATCAAGGACTCTCGGGGTTAACGGCGCCGAAATTCATGGAAATACATGGAAACTCATGGAAACTCATAACCATCGGAGGACTGCATGTACTGACTTACTCATACTGGTAGTAAGATGTACTCGTACAGAGTCTCCTCCGTACTAGGCAATCCTTTGTACCAGGGTAACCATAACAGTACTCCCCCAAGTTCCAACCAGTCTAGCCTTGTACCGCCCGAGATAGAGCGGTACAAATTTTATACCAGTCGCATTGGAATGATCCATTTCTTCAGACTAGTCCACAAATCAAGATAAACCAGTACATTCTCTATACCAGACCTGACTAAGTACCCGACTAGTCGACTCATACTATTATGCACTTTGACCAGAATGTAAAGGTCCGTGTACCAATTCTATACTACCAGTATATCATCTCAACCGTTCCACCGGGTTTTGCCTACCGATCCATCCGAACAGGTACGCCATTACTACCCATTCCTCTATTAGAACATCTTGAAAGGTCTGCTCTTACTGGTCAACTCCTTGCTTTCAAGTGTTTCGTTCGAAGGCCAAGCGTTCACTCTCTACGCGCCATTGTAATTTTTTCCCCTTTCTTTCTTTGATCTAATGTATCAGATTTTCGGTCCGCATCAGAGTTCAGTCCCGGGCGTTGATCGTGACGGACCAGTCTGTCTTTGTGGTACGAAGCACAAGGCTTGGGACAAGCTACTGAGTTTATCTGCAAAACATTCCCGGTACGTTCCTTATATCAACTATTATGCAATTTTGCCCCACCGAACCCGTTTGTCGTAAATGGAGTTTCATCTGTTGTTTTTCAAGTTGGTTTCCTTGGGCTGTTACATGTTGTCTCGACGGCTATGACACTAGTAGTACAGTGCTCACTCTTGGTCAGCTCTCCCCGTAACTCGAGATCTACCACCAACCTTAGGCACCTGCATGAACCCCTGACATTTATAATATGAGATATGACAGCCTGATTTACAAGAACCAAGCTCTTGTCATTCGATAGGGCTTGCAAGGGCAGATATTGCCATCTTGGAAAGGGTATGATATAAACACTAAACTTCAATTTCTACAGGAACTATATAAGACACAATTATAGAAAGGAGGAAGGAGGAACAACTTCATAGGGGTAAAGAACGAAAAGATTTTACTGTGATAACTTTCTCACGCCCGTTCTAACGAAAGGATTCTCATCCTGATAGCCTCGTTTACCCATGGTTTCAGGCGAGCTTGTACTTGCATCATTCTTGCAACGCCATGCAGCAGCCGAGCCTAGCAAGCCAACAGAATTATTGAATTCTTAAGAAGCGGTGTGCTTTATATGCAGTGCAACGATATCAGGCTACGACTTGCCCTGCCTCCTCACTTCAACTAGAATGCCTGCAAGTTATTTTTAATCCATGAAAGAGCGGTATTGAGAGGCCAGTGAAGTTGGATTAGAAGTGAGAGAGTAGAAGAGCCTCCTGATGGGTATTTAAGATGCTGATATCGCTCCGAGAATATGTGCTTCCACATAGTATTTTTGCGAGAGCACAATGTCTTCTAAGAATCCACCTAACCATCATGGAACGGTCATGAGAGTTGAAGAACGCACTGTCACAACTTGGACTCGAATTTTACGCAGTAAGTGAATAGAAAATAGCCGTATACAGTTTGCTAAAACTTGCGATTAGGACAAAGAAGTCCAAAAGACTATCACACTGGCAATCTTCAATACCCGAGTTTTGCCTCAAAAGCCCCCAATAATGAGGCTCTCTGCAAACCAGACTTTAGCTCTCAACAAGATGATGAGCTGAGTCTTTACTTGAAACAATTGCAATCGTTGCTCAAAGATGAAAAGTCGACCTAAGAAGAATGGGGGATATGGAAAGAATTAGTTAGGAGACAGTGCTACAGAAAAATTGTGTTTTGTGTTGTTGTCTCAAAGCTTGAGTAATTTCCTGATAAAAGAAAAGAAAATTATATAAACTCGGACCGGGCTTCTGGACGCTTATTAAGCCATCGGTACGTCTGGCTAAGTCTGAAGCTTGCAATGTAGTAGGGAGACATCGACATTCCTTTAGCAGAGGTTGCAAGTGCGGCTCTGCAATGGGTACCTGCGCTGAAGGCAGGGGGATTCTTTCCCCGCACCCCACGATTATCAATTGCGCGCTAAAAGTCACTACGAGTACAGGTGTCCTCAATCAGCCACGTTCCCTGGTTTCCTTGCGTACAGCAAGTATCTGGGTACCTGTTAGTCTACGCCTATCGTTTGTTGCGGGAGGGGTCGATCATACGTATACCAATAACCATGGATCTCGGTACTGATGAGGTCCCTTCTGACCTCGGCCAGAAAAACATTCACTTCATCCACAGTCAAGCCAAGTTTCGTCAGCAATCCCATTGAGATTCCATCAAGGCCACTGCGGAGCATGTAGCAACTCCAGTTTCCTAACTCTTTATAAAGTGGGTCCCTCGGCCATTGGTTCATGGGAATCTTCTTCTTGATCTCTATTATGTCAATGAAACCCGCATCCTCAAGCATGGATTTGAATTTAGAGGCAACAGTAATAGAGCGACCAATTTTGTTGGCAGCATTGAGCATAAGCTCGGACCACTTGAGGATGTTGGTGTTATGAATCGTGCCGTCGTCGCTCGCGAGCGGGTATGCATTATCCTGGACCTCAATGTATCCCCCGGGCTCAAGATTTCTATACGTAAAGTTGTATTAGCGCAAGCAACCTTGCCTGGGCAAAAACTTACCTGAATGCTTGACAAAAGATACCCGGCCAGTCTTTGAAGCTTGCGATCATGCTGCGGACAAATATAAAATCAAACCGATATGTGAATGTCCATTCTTTCTCCAAGTCGTCTATTTCGAATTTGCAATTAGGAGGAACCCTAGAAAGATGGCAGTCAGCGACAAGGCTACCAAGGTATATGGGAAAACATACATGCTAGGTTGAATTGGACTAAGATCCACACCAAGGACCTCTGCCTCTGGATGCTCATCCGCTGAGCCATGATCAGTAGTTCGCTCGCACCGCCTTGGGAAGTTTTATACATACCGACGTCCATGGCCCAGATACCAGTCCCTGTGCCCACATCGAGAATCCTCTTCCAATTTCTTGGAGGAGTCTGGTAGAGCTTACTGTCATTCACCAGCATCCAGATATGGTTAGTTATGTCGATTTGGAGTTAGCAGAGTGGCTTCGACAGAAACGAACTGAGAACTCACCTAACCTCTCTTGTTCATCCTGTTCATATTAGTGGAAAGAGTCAACTACTCCAATCGCTGTACCCACGTCGTCGTTCGGAAGCAAATATTCTATCCAAACACCGTGAGCAAGCTAACCTCGAGGAGTGAGACGACAACTTACCCCCGCTTCCATGGGTTGCATACGTTCTACCATTCTCTACTCGATATTGGAATATGCTGGAAGATATCGATTGGGTCGAGGAAGCGTCATCTATGGCCTGTAACGAGTTTAGTCTGGTTAAGAATGTAGAGACAAAGGCATACTTCATCCACGCCCGAATCACCAGCTGGTTGGTCATCAGGCTCCAAAATATCCGTCACTGGAGGATCATTTGCCTCAGCCATCTCGAAACGACGCTCGCAGAGAGAACCAATGAAAGTACGCAAGAAATGTGATGAGAATCCAAGGTGATGCAGGTGGTCTGTGGCCCTTTTCTACCATATCTACCTCTAGTAGGACCATGCAATATCGGAAATGCTCTTAGCATGGCGTAGATGGGTCCCATGGATGTGTGAGCTTATGTCTCAGCTGTTGCAGTTGGTCTTAGATGGCCAGGTTTGCCTAGGTTGCAGTCGCACTTTTCCTCCCAGTATTCAGTTAGCTCAAGACAGGTGATAATCTGACAATCCATGCCGAAGTTAGCATGTCCCTCGTGGAAGTTGTCCGGGATAGATCCCTGCCAACTTCCTTCTCCACCTTTTCTGGTCTGAGTGGCACCACCTAAAATTTTATTTGAGATTATGCCATTCGCCAGGTTCGATGTCAGATGATACGTTGGGACGCTTACCAGATTTTGCCAAATGGCAGTTTCTTGAACTGCGAAAGCACGAAAACCGCGAACACGTTTCCGCATCTCTGCGCTTTCTATGCATAGAACTCTGTGTCCGCTTGATTTCCATTCACGAAAGAACCCAGAATCTTCCCTCCAACTGGATCCGATCATGTCTTCGCAAGCCTCGAAACCTCAATTCAAGATTGTGGTTGAATTGTCTGAACACCATCTCGATGTTGCAGAGGCTATCCAGACGCATCCCGATCTCATCAGGGAGGCGTTAATTCAAACTCTCATCTTAGTCCCTCTCGACGATTCCCATTTCGCTCGTATTCAAGTCCAAGAGAACTTCCGACGCTCACTCACTGCCGAAAGAGATCTCACACCGTATCGACTAATATCATCGGTCAAAGCCTGCCAGGAGGGAACAATTGAGGAAGAGTCTTGGGAGAAGCGCTTTTATAATCACGGCGGAACCAAGGCGTTGTCCGGCTTTGCTGCCGCTGTGGCCGATGATAAAAGTGTTGTCTCACGCCTTGAGAAATTGTCCGAGGATGATTTAGACGGCCTCCTCAACTCCATCAACAAAATCCAAAGACATCGTGATCTGTGTTACCTCACAGATAGAATCGGCAGGCGGAAGCAACAGGGAGCACAATCCAAGCGATCAATTTTACCCCGCCCTCGTCGGCGTGCCAAAAAACCGACACATCCTCCAGCGACATTGTCGAACTCGGGTACCAACCTCTCTCAGACTCCAGAGAGTAGGGCTCAGTGCGAAGTTAACTATTTGGATGAGAATTCACCCAATGTCCACAACTTCCTTGAGAAAAGCGCGAGCGAACAGCTACACCTGGGATCTCAAACTAACACCATGCCGATTGAGGTAGATGAGATGATGAGTAGCGCCAACGACAACCTGAGTCAATTCATCGTACCACATTGCTACGGATCGTTCGAAGTAGATGACCTGAGCCAATTCACGATACCACACCTCTTCGGCTATGATCCAGGAACTGAACCATGAGAATTTCCGGAACCAGGCAGCTTCTCGAAACCACCAGGAATTTCGGAATAAAACTCGAATATTGTGGCACTTTGGGACTCTGTGATTAAGCGTCCTTTCTCAATATGAGTTATTGTCCCCATTAGTAGGGGCTGGCCGCCTACAGAGGGGGGCTTTCCAACTATAGCGATCGGGACAATATGTGTCTTCTTCGAGATAGACAAGCTACAGCAACCTTCTACCTGAAGAAGGTTCCCAGAGTCATCCTTGCGGCTAATCTGTGCATTTGGTCAGTATCTCGAAATTTGCTGCAAGCTTGAGACATCAAGCGACCTTGCCGTTAGCTACCAAAGCTTCCCAGATCGCCCCCCGAATTGTTTTTAGGTCTCCGCCAACGCTATCGCTATGTATCGTCGACACTCCTTTCAGGTCACTTCGAGCCCATTCCGCTCCCTCGACCATTATGGCTAGTTTCGAAAGAAGGTCGAGGTCGATGCCGAGTTGTTCCTGGTGCGCCAGATCGTTCATGATCGGTAGCTAGCTAGGCAAAACGAATGATGGATGGATGGATGAACATAGACACCCAGATTCCGGTCGAGTTACGAATTACGTAGTTTGATAACACCTACAAATATCGGCCGTCAGTCAGTAGGATTTTGGGGCCTAGTAGTATGGCACAACTTACGGATGGCGTGGTAAAATAAACTTGGTCTTGATCATAGCCTTTTGCTGGTCAAATGACAATCTCCATGACCCCGCAAGAACCAAACATCTAATCACGTGCACATTCTTCTTGAAAGCTTGGTTAGCTGACTTAATTGAATCTGCACCTTCGGAGGCGTTAAAATGTAGGTGAATTCGCAACCAAGTTGTTCTTTCGCATATGTCAACAAGATTCTCTCTCCCAAGCCTTAGGTCTCAGAATAGCATTGCCATTTGCCTGCCCAACTCAATGTTTTCCCATGTCCTTCCCCTTATGTGAAGATTTTTCTTATCGATAAGCTATATAGATTACCAGGCTCCGTTGCGGAGGCCGCCGATATGGGTCTGGCCGGCATGTCAATGATGGCCAACCAGATAGAGTTGCTAACTGGCCTGGATGGTGGTTGGCATAATAAACGCCAACAGTAGCATAGGAAGATGGAGCCGGCGGCTGTTTTTGGGATGTTTTGTCGCCTGCTGTTATGTGCCTGTTTCTATGCATGGTAGCTCAAACCCTCACGCTAAAATCGAGAGCGGGGACAGCGTATCGATAAGAATTAATCTCAACCTCGGCTCTGTAACACCCAAACAACAGGCCCCAAAAAAAATTCTCCGTAAATGAGGCAAGGAAATGAGTGACCAGGATCAATATAGCCACGGAAGAAGGATGTTGATTTACGAAATTATAGGATTTATTTTAAGTTTTATAAGCATATATTCCCCTCGTATAAAGACAAGCAATTCACCTAGTGGCCTTCGCTGCTCCATGCACGTATCCAAGTACGGCGATGTGAGTTTGGTTGCACATTTTGTAGAAGGGAATGAACGAACCCGTCGAGGGGAAGAATGCAACCAACGGTTGGTTCTGCTTCAGACTAAGAGATTCCGCAGTGTTAGAACCAACAGTTCTCGGTCCTCATTTCCGAAACGGGAACTGGCCTCCAGAGTAATTCTTATTTAAATGAGGTCGGAAAGACTTTTCTGCCGAAAATCACAACCTTCCAGCAAAAGACTCAGCATCACAATGGAGACAACAACGCAGCCAGTTGAACAAACCCCCAGAGCCCATCAGGACCAACTGATAGTCGACATGATACGGCGCCTGCGACATGTGACAACTCCTCGCACCCGACACCGATTCCCTCGTCAAATCCAACCACGATCGACTCGCCCTGCCCGTTCGCCTCGTACTGCTTCCTCGATTCGTCTTGCTCGATCTAGGCGTGCCCGTTCTTCAACCCTCCCCGCAAATCATTCCAGCGGTAGACCCTCGAAGGACGATTTATTCTGGCCCCCATCACAAGTTACCAATGCGAAACTCTCTGATCCTGCGACGCGCATCATTATAAACACAAAAGAAGCGACACTTATCTCATGTCTTGTTGATGGGGGGACAATGTACTACTTTGGAGCACCTTCTTCCCGGAAGAGCCGGGTACGACGGTAAAACATCCAGGAAGAATCAAGGAGGGAGTTTTATCTCCAGACGGTTATATAGTATCGGATGTTACGAAGGGGTTATGGCAGAGATATTTCTTAGTTTTGTATCTGCGTTCCATGAAGAAACACGAGAATGTCTCTAGTGCTAGCACAAAGCAAGAAATTCATCTCGATTTATTATCGACACAGTATCCCAACGGGTTACTTCGTAGCAAATCAAGAAAAGGCAGCCATAAGTAAGAAACCCTGGAGGACAGCACAGCAAGTAGTAGAACACAATAGCATGCAAGCTTTCGCAAACTGCTAAGCCTATTAGAGACTGGCCATCCGACATTTGACATAGGATATAGTTTGGTCGTAAGTTGAGTAGTAATACAGGGACAGACGTAGGAGGAGCAAAGCACCGAGGCAATTCGCTCAACGAACGTAATTACCGCGCGCCTCGAGTCTGGCCAATACTTGACCGTGGGCGGCCTTACGCAGACAGATAGCCCCCATAAACGTCTCAGTGCATTGTACTGTCTCGACGATGGAGGTTCGATCGTGGGTAAACGATTGGGTAGCCCAAGCCCAGTACATGCATTGATTCGGCAGTCACCAACGGTGGGGGAACAGGCCTCTTGTGATCAAACTGTCCTGCGCCTAAATTTGGCGGCTATTATAGGACACTTGTTGACGTGGACGGGATACGCAGGTCTTCGATCGTTTCAGTCGTTGAGTCATTCGGCAGTAATTGGGCGGTACGGTATTCATGGACCTGGGACGGAACGCCTGAAGCCATGTCAGTGTTTTTGGACGATCATCAGGTGTGCAAAGGTACTGTGCAACAAAGAGAAAAGTAGCCTTTTCGATGAGGTGCCAAGTTTAGGCCTAAGGCAGAAAAATGGTCTAGTCCGTTTCATCCGCTCCGACATAATTAAGGCGCCTAGGTTGTCCAATCAATCGACAAAAAGAATTCTATAATTAGTTACACTCGAAATGACGCGGCCAATTTGATCACTTGCGCAATTGTTCTTTCCGCTAACCTAAGAGCATGATACAAGAAACAGGAGAGCAAAGCCGGTTTCTAGATGTCTGATGAAGCCACCACAACAGAGGACAACGATATTGGTCTAATAACCGCCGCAAGCTTGGGGATATGATCTCCCCTAATAAGAGCTAGCGAGTAGATGTAAGGTTTTTGGCATAACGCTATGACCTCAAGTCGCAATGCCACCTTCCTCGTACCTGGCATCGAGAGATCCTTAAACGAGAAACAAAAAACGGCATTGACTTGCTCCCAGGAACATAGTTCATCAAACACGTAAACAGCGTTACTTTCTTCCTGGGAACAACAGATGCACTAATTGTGTAAACAGTATCGATTTGTTCCCAGGAATGTTAAGCAACACTGAAAGTAGTTACTACTTGTTCCTGGGAGCCACCAAACATGTAAACAGCATCAATTCGTTTCCAGGAACAATACAAGGGTTGTCAAACAAGTAAACAGCAATGTCTTGGTCCTGGGAATAGCCCAAGGTCTTGTGAAACATGTAACAGCATCGAATTATTCCCGGGAACATAATGAGTCACCAAATACGTAAACAACATTAATTTATACCCAGGAACAAGACATTAATTAAGAAAACAGAATAAATTTCTCTGATTCTTAGAACATAAGCCCACCAACAGAGGATACAGCTCTTGTTTGTAGTAGAATGTGAATGTTTTATTGGCATACCAACTACTACTACCAGGGCTGAGCGGCTACCCGGAGCAGACACGCTAAAATTAGTGAATCAACCGCTAAATTTATCAGAGGCGCCTGATGGGTCAGCCGAAGACAGCGCACCACGTACAATGGCTTTGGATGGTAAGCGCGTCATCAACAATACTTCCAGACATTGACAGCGACAAACGTCGCCAGCTTTCTGTGACCCGCATATGACACATTCACCGCTTAGATTCCTAAGCATCATCGTATTAGGAATGCAAAGTTCCATCTAAAATAAAGCATGATATATGCGCTATTCTTTTTTAAGCTCTACCTCGGAGCCTCCCCTGGGCTCTGGTGATGGGTTCCCTACTACTATTACTGGCCCTTCTAGACTACTTTCCTGCCGCAGCTCCCGTTCCTTCACTGAACTTTGACTGTTCCTATGGCGTGCAACATCCTCAGCTGTCACGAGCACAGGTAACGGGAAGCTTTCATTCTGCCATACTTTGTTAGCTACAGTAAGTATATTATATCAGTAACACCAACTTTTTCCTCGTCAGATAGCGGTAACGCTTTATCAGTAGACTTAAATTCATACTTTTCGCCTTTACGGCGTATGCAAACATATACTTCGGCGTTATAAACCTGGTGGATAATGAGACCATTATTTTTGAGTGTGCTCCATTTCTTCCTAAAGTTCTCATTACTCCGGTCTCTCTTTCTTACACGGGTGTTCTCAGCGACTGCCATTGTGACTGCAGAGATAAAACTGGTAAAGTAATTAGCTGGGAATATAATATTTTATAGTAATCCTCCTCTGGTCTATTTTTAATAAGCGCAGGGGTGATATTTTTGCTTTTGCGTTTGGTGTATTCAGGAAGCAGTTTTTGGCTCCCCTGCGATAATACTGCCTAGCTATTTGCTTCTGGTTTTAGGGTAGATGCATGCTCCTGCCAGAGGAGTGTATTTCGAAAACATGAGAAATTAAGATGCCATAATCGGGTTCATAGCTAAGTACACACCGTCTGGGCGCTATATATAGGTCAACTTTGTAAAAAGGACTGGTTTTGGCTCCTCGTTCTGCTTTGTGCATGGCATGGAAGCCGTTTTTAGCTATGCTGTTGTGCGTTTACTGTACCGTACCGTATCGCGTAGATAAGCTTTCCCATTTCCCTGCCAAGGTTTAGAGCTCAATCCAGATCCATCTTCCCGTTAGTTCAAAACGCGATGGTTTCAAAGGAATGCTTTTCTAGGGACCTAATTCTGGCCTGTCGCCCGAATAGCGAAACAGGAGACGAAACAGGAGGGACCAGGGAGCTTAACCGCCGACCCAATTCTGACAAAAGTAGATCTCTTCTCCCAGATGGCGATCATCTTAACAGGTTATCTAGTCTCCTACACCACGCTCAGATAGTGTACAAGGGTATGGGTACTTACTCAATACCCATCACATGACAGCAGCCCGAGAAGCAAGCCTTGAATGGAAAGGCTATATTAGGACTGTTGCCTGAGTCCCTCAGCATCCACTATTGACCAGAGCTTCATTCTAGTGGCCAGAAACCCAGCGTAAGGCTCCTGCATGTATAAACACCCCGCGATCGATGTGCCGTATCTTGATTTACTCTGACCAGATTAGCTCAGGGACCACTGCGCTAAAGTTGGGGCCATGACTTTAGTGGATGGCATCACAAGGACATGCCAAATTTATCCACAGGTGAACCCTTTCCCTTGTAAGCCACTCCTTGGGCCACGGAATTGGCTGTCAATCCGACTGTAAAAAAGCAGGCCCCAGCTTTGGGACCTCGAAATATGCCAACTCAGGTTAAGAGATAGTACATTGTGTCCTGGACCAGCTTTTAGGATAGCACATGACATCATAACACAGTCCCTGGCATAGTACACTCAGCATCATAGTATATGCATTAGTACAGCATGTTTGATGTCCCAGAACACGCCCATTAGACCCTGACCTCTAATGGGGCTTGGCAAGGCTAATGACACCGAAAACTCAGGCTTCTCGAACCTTCTGTGGCCATGTCGCAAAAGCAGACGGTTCAAGGTTAGGCAAAAGGTTGACCACGTCGCCCCTTGTACTGTACCTTCGTAAACAGGTACCAGGTTGAACCTCCGGCCATTCCTTACCTCAGCCCTCACCACTCTACGTTACTTCATAATACTATACACTATCTTACGCCAATTCATATCACTTTATAGCACCCTCAAGAGCTTGCACTGATATCTGTGAACCGAGGTTGCTTCTCCTTCGCACAGGGATACAGCGTCTGTGTGAAAAGCAGAGATCAGCGTGAGCATACTGGTTTCTTGACAGTTGGTCACTTCGACCACTTGATCAAGCTTCGATGGCCTTGAGCCACGCCTGAATAAAACCCATGTCTTTAGGCTCATAGGTCTGGGTGTTCTCCAGCGGTTCGTTGGGTCCACAACGGCGAGGGACGATGGTCCCACCAAAGCCTTTTTCAACTTGATCGCAACTCCACCGAAAGACAGCCTCTGTAGCAGTTTGAGAAATCGAGCGTACTAGCTCTCCATCATTAATCTGGACATTACTCTCTTTACCAGCAGCTGTCGATTCTCCGTCCGGATGCTGAGTTCGCATACCCCTTGAAGAGAAACCGGTATCGGTGCTCCCGCTGAACGACCAAGTCCAATGCATGTATCTCCATTGGTGCAAGCAAGCAAGATGTCCTCGAATCTCGAGCTCGACATCTTCGGCTCGCATTCTTCCAAATGGAGGCCATCCATAGGGTGGAGTGTAAGAGAATGTCTCGTCTTGGTAAAGGTCTGAGAAGTCGTGACGCATCCGCCATACATCTGCCCTAGACACTGTGCCGTCGGCGGCAGGACCAGACAGGCCATGATCTATGAAGGACTGGGCTACGCCCGTCCAGGCTGCAGCGTCGACATTGGGACGGAAGAAGGGATAATCCCGTAATTTGGTCAAGGAGGGTAAGATCGATCTGATGAATGCCCCTCGGCCACAAAGCATGAGCCCTAGCCACAATGACGAGAAGGAGCTGAAAGAAAAGATTTTGGCGAGCAATTCCATGTCATCATTTTGAATGACTGGCTCGAGGACGTCGACAATGGGCGCCATCCAGGCTCCTACGCGGTTGCATGGTACATGCGGGCTCCAAAAAATGCTCCAAAGGGAAGGGCCCAAGACCCATGGACAGAGACTCAAGGTCATGTAGTAGTCGATCAGATGAAAATCGGCGGGAACACTCCTTGAGGATTCTGAATGTTCGTAGTAAATGGTGAATGACGGCTTGGGCAGTTCAATCATGGCAGATTTCAGAGGTGTCGTATTGGCATGGAGTGGAATAGTAAGAGCTGCAGCAAGAGCCGCTGAACACTGAGAGCCTAACTCATAAGCATCGCAAAGCCTCGATAGGTAGCACGCTGCTTGCTGTGCTGTGGGTGGTTGCGGGCGGCTTTCGGCGGTGCCTCCAATCCTAATCTCTAGGTTCCTAACCGTAATGGCCCAAGGCGTCAATCTTGACCCCGTGACAGACCAACCAAGTCCGGGTGTTATAATAGCCTTCCACCATCTTAGCTCGCTAGGAGAAGCGTATCCGAGGTCAAGTACTGTCGAGGAAGCGGGTGACGCGAGTAAGGGCCCATACTCCATCGATAGACCCTGTCTTTCGGCCAAACTAGCGCTCAAAATATACGCCCAACCCAGCGTCAACAATGCGATGCCATTATTTGCTTTCGTTTCCCAGACACGGAAATTAGATGATGCCGATATCGAACAACTTGTCGGATGAAGCTTTGTCAGGAATAACCTCTGCTTTCGTTCTCGCTTGGTTTTGACTGAGCAGGAGCAATTCGAATCCCCCCAGGTGGAAAATCCCTCGAGCCATCTTGAACTGCTTGTAATCTTATCGGGCAAACGTGGGATGCGGCCGAGGGCTCTCGTCAGATCTAGACTCTGTTTCGGGATTTCGGTCATGTTTTGCGCCTGGGAGAGGATCGTTCGCCATCGCGAAGCGCTTCGGTTGAAGATAACAACATTTTCGTGACCGTCATAGAGGCTGTTTTGGCAGGCGTGATCCATTTGGGAGAAAAACGTGGTGCAAAATGAGACGTGGCGTGGCGATCTAGGACGCGGGTGGCGATATGTGACTGTTATTTAATTATTGCTCGTGCTACACGTATGCTGAGACGAGAAGGTCACGTGGATCGCCGTCAGCAACCGAAGATCGATAAATATGTATCTTATTCTGAACTGATCATTCTGTCCTTGCCTATTCTGTACTAGCGCCTATGACCTCTGGCTGTCTTCCTACGCCCAGTTGAGCTCTCCCCTGTCTCGCTGGTTCCGTGCGCCCAGGTGTAATAATACTGGCCTGAATCATCGACGTAGAACAAACAAGCTACCATCTCGCCCTCGTAGTCAACGTAGCTTGACTGCCACCGCTTTTCTTTCGTGGTCACTTCCTTGCCGTTCGCACGGACGAAGCAGATTCGTCCCTGGTGCTTCGAGGGATATGTATCTACATATATAGAATTCGCGCTTGAAATAGTGTTGTCTTGTAACTGAATGTTGTCAAGACGTTGGGTGAGTGACGTTGTCTCTTGTTCATATCGGGCTTCGTCCCACTGCAGGGGATCCGTGGATGCGGTCTCAGTTGAAAAGGTTCGAGCATGTCCAGAAGGCCCAGCGTTGGACGAGTCCGCATAAGTCTCGGACCCCTCCTGCGCCGGGTACGGAAGGCCAATCTCATCCGCTGTAGGTACCTGAATATCATCGTCTGGTTGTGTTCCCCAGAAGTCCTTTGGAGGGGCCCCTGGGTGTTGCCAGCATCGAAAACAATCTATGTACTGTCCCTCAAAATAATCCGAATGACCCGTTATGGTACATCGCACCCACTCGAAGTCGCATCGACCTCCTTTGTTTTTACCGCGGCATTGGCCAAAACGATGGACGCCATTCGCACAGCCACATCTCTGACAAAATCCCTCCCGGTCTGACGTTGATGTCATAGCGTGATGCTGGTCGAGGATCAAAAGAATTACGAGTATTGTTACTCGGCAATGTATAGCTACTCAATGAATATGGAACGTTTTAGAATTACTCACGGACTACTTATATTTTCTTCTTGATAGCTTTGCATCAGCTCTAGGAGTTCATATCCTCCCTCGACAATGCGACCAAACTCGTGCAGGTGCATACTTGGTTGAGGGCTTCCTGGCTGATTGGAGAACGAGATTTGGTGGCCTATCAGAATCCCTCTCCTACAGCAAGGTTGTATTGGCTCACTAGGTCAGAATGGCGCATTGGCTCAATTTTCAGGCTCATCGGCTCATTTTCAGGCGCATTAAATGGCGCAATGTGGGTCACATGGCGAAAATTGGCTCATCAATGTGCGACTGGAGGGCGCATTGGCTCATTTAAGGAACTTCTCTTATTAGGGAATAGCGCGTTTGCCTCCGTAATTTGTGATCTAATGGCTCATCGGCGCCTCGTTCATTCTTGTCGACAGGAGTCTCTCTGGCGAAGCCCCCCACCTCCTGCCTATCACTTTTTCCCTCCACAAATGGTACAGTCGTAACCGCCGTTTTTCCCTGTACCACCACACATGCCACAGTCACTCATGATGGCTTTCTCAAGACTCCTGGCTCCTCAAGGTTGGGACGTCTCTCTGGTCGGTAAGTATTATACGGATATGTGAGAAAGGATTTACGAACCTGATAGTTGAACCGATGGATGCACGATAGATGAGCCTGAGCTCTGGCCTGGTTGTATATAGCAATGATGATACAAAGCGAGGGCGATGGTCAGTGATGGCTTATATGTATGCCATGCCATTCAAGATTTGGGGCTTCAGGTGGCGAAAGAAGACCATGTGATTCCAACCTGGCACTCGGTTGAGGCCGCCGGCCCCACTCCTGGGTAGTTGGCATTTCGGAAAAGCGAAATGGTTGCGACCGCGCCTTGACGCGTTCCTCTTTATTTCCCCCCTCCTAGTACACATCACGATGCCGGTAATAGAATGCAGCATTTGTCTGGAGAATTTCGAAAACGAAGGCGCCTACCGAGGCCATCTTGAGTATCATGAAGTATGCATGCCCCCATCGTCCAGTTCAGTCAATCGGCCCCTAACCCACCTCAGCATCGTGCTACAGAGCTGCTGGAAGAGCTTCAAGCTTGCTTGCGCCATATTTCTGCCCAACCGCGCCTGATCAACGGCCAGCCTAGTCCCATCTCACGATCGTCTGCAATCAATCAACCTGATACGAGTCCTTCTCGAACGCGTTCTTGGATATGCCCTCATCCAGATTGCGCTAGAAAGCTTAAGAGAACATCATTTGAGCGACGAAAAGATCTGGTCCGACATGCCGAGTCCCGTACGTTACGACCCTCGATTAGGTGTTCCGGAGTAAGCATGGTGACATCAATCAAGATATGGATTGCCAAGAAAAATGCCTCTTCTGCGCGATTCCGATATTACAGGTTCGAAAATACTTCACACACTACGATAAATGCCCGACTCGGCTTGAACACCAGCGGACTGGGATTCTGTCGGTGGAGAAAGACGACGAGATGCGGAAAAAGCGGCAAGATTTGCATGAAAATACTGAACTTTGGCTAAACAGATTGCTTCCTTCGGGCGCATCCAATAGGGCGAGTGGGCGGAGGGAGAGGCGGAGGTCGAAGATACCAGCTAACGTGGTGAAACCCAGCGTCACGAGGCACGATGCTATTCATACTAACTACCATCCACGACAAAACCCAGATCATGGCGCACCGCTACCGGGCGGAAACGCCATACAAGCAGGCCAGTATCCCACAGAGTTTTGTATTGCTATTCTTACCCTTTGTCAGAAATCACAACATCTAATGACCCCCGAGCAACTGGGCTTGAAGCAAACAAAGTTGATGGAAACTCCATGATAGCCAGCCAAGATGTGTCCGCCTTTAATGATCTCTTGCGGGAAATGGAGTTTGGCTACACGGCCAGCGCACTTCCTACAATCGATGTATCAGCCATGGCTAACCACTCCATTCTACCCCGTGCTCCGGTTGTTACGTCCTATACCATGGATGAGCCGTACTACATCAATCCCAGTCACCGATCCATGGAATTGGGCATCAACCAGTTTGCCAATGGTTATGTTGATGGAGCTGATGGAACCGGTTGACCGCTATCCATCCCTGGGTTATCCACCAGCACCAGACAGATGCCTAAGAAGTGGATGGGAAGCCGAAATTAAGTTTATTGTGCCGTCTCGCTGCCTTCGGGTGCTTCGAACGTGAAGTTGGCGCCGATGTGGTTGCTTATTTCCTGTATCTGCTGAACAAGTCCTTCGAGCCCGCAACCCTGCGGTAACTCCATCTCGGCCCAGTGTTGTAGCTCTTCGGGTACGACAAATGCAAAGAAGATCGCTCGGCCGCTAACGATCCTAAAGCCGGTCCTCCCATCTAGGATGGACCTTGGATTTGTTAGTAAATATTACCGGCTAGAGAGACGTGTGCATACAATCCACCCTTCTTCATCGGTACAGTCTTGCTAATGATCCCAGGAAGCCCGAGCTTGTCTGGCGGGATTTTCAGCAAGCCGTTCGGGGCGCGATCGGCATCCAGCAGGTGTTTGTGAGAGCCGAAGTGGAAGATGACAACGGAGTTACTTGACCATAGGTGAACCATCAAGACCTGTAGCTCTGGCTGTAGTCGATTCATCCAGCAGCAGTCGTAATCGCTTGGTCCGTATGATTTTATGATGCCTAGGGAGCATTCCGGAAAAAAGGACTCGATAACACGACGAACTTTCTTCTACTTGTCAATATTGCCAGAAAGAACATTGGATGGGATACATGCCTCATTTTCGAATGTGTTGACTTTGGCGAATGTGAGACCAGCCTCGTTCTTAAAGTAATAGCCAACATCTTGGAAGATTGCGTCGACTCTCTGTCCTACCTCCTCGTCCTCTTGGTAGAAGCAGCCTAGTGTTTCTATTAACTTCTTTGTATCCTCCAGCGAGGCCATCGTAGCGATCGGCGACACGGAAAGGACGTGAAATGTGATGTATTTCTTGAAACAGCGGGCGGTCAAGGCTGGCAAAAAGCGATGAGCCTCGGTAAGGCTAGCTGCCGAATGTTGGTTTTGCTGGGTTCCAGCCCAGATAATGTGGCCTGCGCGGAAGTTCCAGCTCCTGCTCCAAAGAAACAAAAGGGCACCGACTTGTCAAGGGCTCTCGCAACAAACAAAAGGAGGTTCGGTTGACAACCTCTGATGGTTGTTTCGTCAGAAGCGGTGCGGGGTAACAGGAGCCAAGTGGATCAAACAAGCCCAATGAGCCCAATGAGCCCAATGAGCCCAATGAGCCCAATGAGCCAAATGAGCCAAATGAGCCAAATGAGCCAAATGAGCCAAATGAGCCAAATGAGCCAAATGAGCCAAATGAGCCAAATGAGCCAAATGAGCCAAATGAGCCAAATGAGCCAAATGAGCCAAATGAGCCAAATGAGCCAAATGAGCCAAATGAGCCAAATTGCCATTGAGACTAACTAGGATACTGATGAGAGTTTAGTAATTGAGGAACCGCTATGGGAATGTGATAACGCAAGTCTGATCCAAATCGGGAAAGACTACATCGTCTAATGCGCAGCGGCCTAGATCGTTAATGTTCTCACCTCGAGGTAATATCGTATGGCGATGCCTTGTTGAAATGCCCCTCTTGAAAGCTTGACTGACCAATCAGACTGCAATGTTCTATGGTTCCGCTCGAGACTCTGGCTTGCATTAAAATCGTTGTAGGTTGTCCAACAGGAGGGCTTACGATGCACGCGGCACAAACACATGAAAGTCAAACTTAGCTGTAGATATTTGTATGTATGCAAGACCTGGTCGTTCTTGATGCGGCCTTTACATTAGCGTTGAGGTGTATGGAACACGGGGGTTGACTTCGCGCCAACCCATCCTTACTAGCCAATAATTGAGATGTGTGCAGATGTCCCATTGACCTTTCGACCAAACATATCAGGGGTCTCTCAATGTAGGGCCTGGACGTATACTGTAGAATGCGGACTCCCTGGTAATCTCATCCTGGGATTTATTAGTTTGTCAGCCGGGGACCCGACACTGCAAAACCAACAGTATCACCGCGGTCGGTGGCTTGCAGAACGGTAGATGTAATCATGTCGATTCACATCAAATGTTATTACCCTGGCACCTGCGAGTGCGCGACAATCTCAGATGAGTATTAATCTGCCGATCAAGAGGACTTGCTTCACCTAGGTAATGTCGCAAGAGCTCTCGGAGTCCTCCCGGAGTATAAGAATGGCGTTGCGCCGCCAAACTTATGTTTGACTTTTCTTTTTCTGAAAATCCCCGCCAGAGCAACTGCCCCATTTTCGAAAAGAAACCAGTATTGTTCTAGTAGAACCACTTCTCATTTAAAATCCATTCTCGACCATCATGTCACTTGTTGCGGATATGCCTCATCCCTTTGCCAACTCGCGGTCGACTCCGCCACCTAGCCCTAGTGCCTCTACGGTTTCAGACTCTAACATGCGCGAGATTGAAAATGGAGAGGCAACGTTCGCTGCACGGCTTATCACCGCCGTCGAGAAGCTCGTGGAAAACAAGCTATCCGACAACCGCCCCGCCGGCACTGAGAAGCCTGAAGTAAAGGGGGGGAAGCCTCGTGCTGGCCGTGCGACCACTCTAGCATACAAGCACGTTGAAGAAACGTAGGTGTCCTCTCTGACTTCTTTATACATCATCTAATGAAAGTGTTCCAGCTGGGATGATAAAACGTTCAAATACAAGATCGTTGAGGACAATCAGTCCAGTGTCGGAAATCTCGACCAATTTGTATTTGTTGCCAGAGACAGAATCGGTGAGTTAATATATATCGACAATGAGCTTGTCTAATCAGCCTTATAGATAGAAGAACACAGGACAAAACAACCTTCATTGACGTCAAATCCGCGGCACTTCGAGATATCCTGAGGGAAGCGTGTCGCGATTTCCGGGGTATTTCACTTGCTGGTGATACTCCTTCAGTAGGATTCCCATTTACCTTTTCAAAGGCGAATAACTGACTTTCAAAAGATTGAACAAAACGTTGTCTTTCACATTCGAAGCTTCCTGAGATATCGGCGCGATACCATTGTCGCGGATCAAGACGCGATGAGCCATAGCCATTTGAATCTCTTTGTGGATTACATTGAGGCGGAGTTTCACTCAGTAGACGAAGAGCTTGCTGGCCTTGCCATCAAGAATGAGATAACCTTTGATCTTCTCTGGGCTTTATTTGAGCCGAACGAAAAGGTATTTACTACTTGTCCTGGCACTGGCTCCCCGAGATGTGTTCTCCATAACTATTGCGAAGAAGGGGAAGAAATGGACGGGTCCAAATTCATACGCCTTGACACTCGCTTCCTAGGCACCGATGGGAAAATTTTCGGTGAAGCAACTAACAAAATCAAAATCCCGCATTTTCCTGGAGCCAGGAGAATCGACTTCCTCCCAGCCTACCCTTTGCGTTACCATCATAACTACGATGAGATATTCCGAGAGCTGGTGGAGAATGGTCGTCGATTTATCTCCTTGCATGGCAGTCATCATCTTCAATACCGAGGATTTGCCTTTTTTTTTAATGACGAGGGTGAGATCGTGAAGCGCCATGTTGACGAGCGGATCATGGTGGATCCGGTCGGCTTCCGGGAGCATAACCCTGGCCATCCGCAGCCGACTGTCCGTAATGTCAACCCCATACAAGAGACACCCGGGCCGTCCAACTGGACTGGGTCTTTCAGTTCGGAGACAGTGGTATTGCAAGACGAAGATTTCCTTATCTGCGGTCCAACTGTCCTGGGATTCTGTCTTGGAGGTAAAAAGTTTCGTAAGTCGAGACAATTCCATGGATAATTTTGCTGAAGACTAACAATTTCTCAGTTGAGTTTGCTGTCGCTCATATCAGCGACATCACGTGGATGCCGTCGTCCTACGACGACGTGAAGATACCCGATGCCCAGAAGAAGGCCATCTGGGCTCTTACTCACACGTACTTTTCTGGCGATACTGAGAATGGCCTCGAGGATATCGTACAAGGAAAAGGACGGGGCATCAACTTTCTACTATAGTATGTACTGCGAATATACAGCCTTTTCCTTTTTGACTTACAACGGTGTTAGTGGGCCGCCTGGCGTCGGCAAGACGTTAACAGCTGAAACAATTGCGGAGACCCACAGACGGCCGCTCTATGTGGTCCCGGCGGGCCAGATTGGTGTTGATCCGGTACAGGTGGAGAATATTCTCACAAACACCTTCAAGATCGCAGGTCGTTGGAAGGCAATCCTGCTTCTTGATGAGGCAGATGTGTTTGTGTCTCAACGTTCCGACAACCCGCAAGTCAATGCCCTTGTCTCGGTATTTCTTCGAGAATTGGAGCGATTTGATGGCATTATGTTCCTTACGACGAACCGAGTGCAGTCCTTTGATACAGCGATGATGAGCAGAATTCACCTTGCCCTGGAATACAAACCGCTGGGAATAGACTCGCGTCGAGCTGTCTGGAAGTTTTTCCTGGAGAAAGCCAGGACCCAGCATGGCACCTCGAATCTTACTGAACTAGTTGATATCGTGGCGCACAAAGAGCTCAATGGCCGCGAAGTATGATCATACCCGTTCTTTGAGACCATAACTGACTATTGCACAGATTCGAAACACTGTGCTTGTGGCACAATCTATGGCTGTGTATGAGGGTACAGTTGTGTGCGAGGATCATCTCATGGAGTCCATTACAGCACGGGAACAAGTCCGCGAACATCACCTTGGAGTCGGTGCTTCTGACAACTTGAGATCTTACTTCTGATCTGACTAGCTGTGTTCCATCCTCACTACACCTCTAGGTGCGGCCTGATTATGGGAGGGGGAAGTAGACGAAAGGGGAAAGTTGCTATATTGTCTTTAGTTCTTATGATTTTCACTCCTTATACATTCTTAGTTAGGACCTGGCACTGCAGGTTGGGGGTTTCGTACGTGAGAAGGATAAAGAGAGAAGTGTGCTTCGAATAATTACGTGGACGCATGTGAAGCGGCGCGGAACAAAATAGAGGGTTAAGGTGGTGGCCCGTCAGTCCCTACAGTCTTCAACTGGCCACTAGGATATTTTAGCAACACCACGCTCGTTACTCTGTAATCACATTCATGAATAAGAGTGCTTCTAAGGCGAACCTTGTGGAGTGTTACCTTCATATCAAACTTACTTGCCGGTTAGTGTATGATGTTGTCGAGCGTGATGATGGCTTCTTGGACTGTTTGGCCGCCATGACCTTGACCCCTGAAACTGATCAACCACTCGGGAAGCGGATGCATGCAACCATCCTCGTGTTGGACCTTTTGTCTCATTAATCACGCGTTATACGGTGTGGTGGAGCATTTCCTCGCTAGGTCATTGAGTCGCAAGCATAAATAAGGGCCTGGAATCCCGTCTCAAGATGCAACCCCATGACAGATGTCTTCATCGCTCACACAGTTGAGAAACCATGGACCCTTCTTTATATTATGAAACCAACGACATGTACCTCATGTCTGTCCTCTCCTTTTCTTGTCTTATACTCTTTGTTGTCATTAAGTATGACGCACCGTGGTCAAAGGAGAAGTGTCTCTTATACCTGGTGGGGGTATGGGTTGCATTCCACCTGACAGCCTTGGTCCTGTTCTCTCTCCAGCACTCCCATAAGGTCGAGCTTCCACAGCAACTAGCGACATCTGTAAATACCATCTTGGCCACAACATCTCTGTGGGGGGTGGCAGTCATCCAGGTTAGTCAAAGTCTGTAAGATAATTGTTGCACGCTCTAAGATCACAACGTAGATTATCACGATCATCTATACATTCGCAGTCCTAGGGAACGAGATATGGTGGAAAGCGACTGCAGCACTTGTGTGTGTTGAAGTTGCTTTGATTTTGATAATAATATTGATTCCAAAAGTCCCAACCCCCGTCGAGCTGTCATATATCTTACCCTTCACTTCACAAGCTGCGGCTATGGGTACAATATGGGCATCTTCTCGAGGCATATTCCGAAACAGGATACAGAAGCATACAGCTGATCATCTGTTGGGTTTGGGCTTGATCACTTTCCTTGTCTCTGCACTTTTACTTCCACTGTCAATTCTCGGGTACTTTCGAAGCCAGATGACTCTCCAATGGGTATTCTTCATGGTAATCACAACGGTAGCCTACCGACTTCCTGAGAGCTCTAGCAACGAGCCTGCTACAACAAGTGCCTCACAGATTGAGCTCACACCAATGGGCGGCTCATGCAGTATGAATGAACCTCCGCCCGAGAGTTCGCTGGACCTCAACGAACGAACATCAATCCGTTCCCATGTAGCCCTCCCCCCTGATTCTATACGATCAGTTGAACATTCTAGCAACAAACAAGACATTGACTCGTCAGTGTAGGTGGAATATCTCACGCACTACGCAGAGAAAAGTGAAAGGAGATGGCAGTAAAAGTCTGCAACAGGTATATGTCTTGCGCTGCTGGGGGATTCGTCACTGCCGGACGAAACACGGGACCATCGAATGGCACCCCGTTCTACATATCACATAAAATACACATATTTCTTCATATAAGTCAAGTTCTATACAGCTAGCTGATGCTGTTCAGTATGGCTACAGCCAGTTCTGACTGTCATTGTGCAGGGTTCATTGCTAGTAGCGACTGTCTGGGGCCCATAATTGGATCTTGGCCTGTTATACCAGTTTCCTCGACATTGTTGATATGTAGCACTGCATTCACCAGTGATACTCTGAAACTCATGGAATGATATTGCAGGCATAGCACCCTTGCGCCGGGGCCGGCAAGGTTCTGCCAGTTGCTTTTCGACAAAGGAGCTCTATTCTAATATGAAACACAAATCTTTATACCGCGCAGCCTATTTTCACACTTCCCCTTTTGCATCCTTGGCCTTGCGCTCCTCGCGCTCACTGAATCGATCCCCAAACAAGTCAAAATGGGGTCTCATGACGATGGTATACTTCACAAGCTCTTCCATGCAATCAACGAGACGGTCGCGGTTTGAGCTGGCAAGCATACGGCTGCCCTCAGGCTCAGATGTGAACTGCGTGTATGCCTTTGGCACCGAGCTCTGGTTGGGAATGGCAAACATGCGCATCCACCGTCCGAGTATCCGAAGCGAGTTGACAGCGTTGAAAGACTGTGATCCTCCGCTCACTTGGGCAATAGCCAAGGTTCTTCCTTGAGTAGGACGCACTGAGCCGGAGGATAATGGGATCCAGTCAATCTGCTGTTTGAAGATGCCCGTCTGTGACGTTGATTAGGTTTATATTTCTGCACAGACTGAGGGGACCTACCAAGTTGCCATGCTGCTCAGGGCTGACCCATACATGCCCGTCGCTCCACTTGCTTAATTCCCGCAGCTCTTGTACTTTGGGATGGCAGTGTTGGACGTCGTCCTTCTGGGGCAGACCAGCAGGGTCGAAGACTCGTACATCACAGCCGAGGCGGAAAAGAATGCGCGCGGCTTCATATGCTAGCAGACGGGAATATGATCTGGGGATAGTAAGTTAGACTGGTAATATCCTAGCTAAAACGGATGGCAAAAGGTCAAACGATGACATCCGTCTTCATCCATAGTACTCACCGACTTCTGAGACTACCGTAGAGAACCAGAATGCGGAGGCGATCGAGCCCTTGCTCCAAGATCTCGGATTGCACCATCTTGATCGCTGTGCTCAGCTCTAATTCCGAGATCCAGTCATCGGTAGAAGGACTGCCGTCGAAAAGAAAAGGACGATATTGCTCTCGGATTCCGACGTCATCTTCGTCGGCGTTAATGGCGAGGGACTGATAGCTGTAGGCGGGGTCAGCAGCAAGCTTGATTGCTGCCCTCCCAGCGTGGGAGTTGTTCAAATCTCCGTGCCCTTGCATCGCGAGGCCGAGGTTCCAGGTTTTCTTTACTGGGATGCTACCAGAGAAATATCGACGTTGAAGAAGTTCGTGGAAAGGCACGGTTGCGTGGAGGTTGCTTGTGAAAGTGCGAACTCGCAGGGTGCGGCAGAGAAGGTTCATTTTTTTTAATTTTTAATTTTTTTTACTGGCTTTCCAGGCGAGACATGCAGTGGAGCCCACAGAAGGAATAGCGCTCTTTATGTACTGTAACCTCTCCTATAGAGAGTACCTTTAATAGTGCAGATAGAAATTTTTAGGCCTAGAAGCCGTCATGCATAGACCCACCCACTGCTGGCCATGGAAGTGAACCCTTGCAGGGTCGAATATTCTCACGCCAGAGAGCCGCCAGGATGGGCCTCAGTTTAATAAAGATTGCGTCTCCATGGCTTCTCGCGACATCTTTCTGTAAAGACTATCCTGGAATTGCTGATCCTTCATCAACGCACTATCCCCTTTCATTTCTCCAGCCTGAGATCTTATGGGACCCAGGCGCGATGACTGTTTTCGGGGCAGCTGTTCTTATTAGATTTAGTAGGCTTTAAAATTCTGGCGCGGGTGTTTATGCCGCCTATCTAGCAGGTCGCAACGACGCCAAGAGTTCAAGCTACCGCGATTCATTTTTCCTTGGCCACTAATTATAACTCATCCTAGATAATTGCTATTTGCTATCCCAAACAGTCGCGTCGTACTCATCCATCCACTCCACGAACTCGCCCCCGGCTTTGGCCCAGCCGGTAATGCCTTCGAATAGAATCACACTTTCCATATGGCTATCGCCTTGCTCGTCGAGATGGTCCTTAAACCATCCAGCTGCCCGTGAGCCCCGGCCGCGAGAGGATGCTGGAGAGGTTAGTACGTCCGTTTTATTCATGCTTCGAGTTGGGAGGTAGTGAATCAAGACGTACAGCAGTACCAGATAATTTTTTGAACTCCCGCCGATTTAAACAGACTGTACAGCGTCTTTATAGTCGGGTAGAGGCTCTGTGCCGGCAGATTGATGGATCCGCGAATGGTACCGCCCTGGATGACAGAATGGGTGAGTTGATGCTCGATTAATTGTTATCTCAGAAAACGCGAAAGGTAGGTGCTACCTCGTGATCTGTTCGACGGAGATCAATGAGAATGTAATTCTTGCCGGCGATATTCTTGCTGTCCTTCATCATCTCCAATACCGCTTGGCGTGTCATGGCCGCGGGCGTCTTGTTGAGTGGAGGAGGGTAGGCAGCATGCCAGGGCGTGGCGGCGTCAGTAGAGGCCATCTTGGATGAGCAGATAGGATTGACCTTTGGAAATACGAGATATAGACGAGAACGAGCGCCCAGTTTTAGGATAGATCTTGTGAGGTTCATCGCATCTTGGAGGGGAAGGGATTTCCTGAATATGAAGCCCTCTGAGGGCCGAAGGCAATGGATACCCCACTTAGACATAGCCGGGAATGTGCCATACCCAAACCATGATTGGCCATGGTCAAAATTAGATGGCGTTTTGGGACACTGTCATACCCGGGAGGTGATTGGTCAATCAGTTTTGCAGGGGCTCCGTCATGCGCCGACTGTGACCGTGCAATCTTTCTTACCAAGCAAATTCCATCAGGGGACTGTGTCAGGCCGAGACTGCGATTGGCTCAAGAGGATTTTCGACCAGCAGCGTCCATTGCATTCCAGGATTGCTGCAAGTCTTTGGGGCGCAAGAGGGACTGCGGTGATTTACGTATAAGAGCGTGTTCGCCTTGACAGTAGCGATTCATACAGGTCAGCATTCATCTGCGTTGCTGGACTACGAGCCACCCACTACCACCACCCTCCACCCACCGCATCGCTTCAAACCTACCAAGCCAGACGACCACTGGCCCCCCTTCAACATGACACTGGAGAAGAAGAACGGGTTGATCAGCCAAGAGCCAAAGCCTAGCCCGCCTCGCGCAGGCCCAGGCAATGAAAGCATTGGACAGGCTGACCAAGATCCCGAGGCCACAGCTACGACCATGAGCCACGATGAGCAACCGCAGCAACACCTGTCTGCCTTCAGAGGACTCGGTCTTCTGGATCGCTTCCTAGCCCTGTGGATATTCCTGGCAATGGCCATTGGCATAATTTTGGGCAACTTTGTTCCTGAGACGGGGCCAGCCTTGCAGAAGGGCAAATTTGTCGGTGTTTCGGTGCCTATTGGTATGTTTCCCCCAAAGGCTTGAACCTTTGATCCTTGAAACTGACGACTGCGCAAGCTGTCGGTTTACTCGTCATGATGTATCCCATCCTCTGCAAAGTGCGATATGAATCGCTCCACGAGCTCTTTTCCCACAGGGAGATGTGGAAGCAGATCTGCTTTAGCATCTTCGTCAACTGGATCGTTGCTCCATTCCTCATGGTGAATTCCGTCCCAGTCCGCCTCCTTTCACAGACAGCATACTGACGTTTCTCCTAGCTTGCCCTGGCCTGGGCTTTTCTCCCTGACAAGCCGGAGCTTCGCACCGGTCTTATTCTCGTGGGTCTTGGGAGATGTATTGCGATGGTTCGTTTATCTGTCGCCTTCAGACATTTACAAACGATACTGACACCTTGCCTTCAGGTCCTTATTTGGAACGGTATCGCTGGCGGCAACGACGAATACTGTGCCATCCTCGTCGCTATCAACTCAATACTCCAGATGGTTCTCTTCGCCCCCATGGCCGTCTTCTTCATCCGCATCATCAGTCACGAGTCGGGTACGATTGATGTATCCTACAGCGTTGTTGCTACAAGTGTGGCTGTCTTCCTGGGCATCCCCCTTGGAGCAGCCGTCATCACGCGAATCGTCCTTCGTAAGGTCGCTGGACCGGATTGGTATCAGCAGACCTTTCTCAAGTTTCTCGCACCCTGGTCTCTCATCGGCCTACTCTACACCATTCTCGTTCTATTTGCATCCCAAGGCAGACAGGTTATTCACCAGATTGTATCGGTCGTCCGGGTAGCAGCGCCACTGATTGTGTATTTCGTGCTTATCTTCTTTGTCACTTTCTGGATCAGCAGACTGCTCGGCTTCCGGCTCTCCATGGTGGTTACGCAGAGCTTTACTGCTGCGAGCAATAACTTCGAGTTAGCTATCGCGGTGGCGGTCGCGACCTTTGGCCCCAACAGCGACCAAGCCCTGGCATCCACCGTTGGTCCGCTCATCGAAGTCCCAGTCTTGGTAGGCTTGGTATATGCCGTTCGCTGGATGGCCAACAGATGGGGTTGGAAGTAAAGGGGTGATAGCCAAACTTTCACCGATAATGCGGCTTCGGGGATATGGTGTAAATTCTTCTATGGGTATTAATATATAGATTATTTGGTTTCGCCCAGTCTTCTCGACATGAAATCTGAGAATCGAGCAATAATAATATGCTTCCAGCGTTCTTTAAAGTAGCAAAACTCCACATTGACGTCGACGTGCGCCTAATGGATATGATCCATGAGCTGAAAGATTTTGGTGTTCTTGACAGAGCAGCTGTTATCTCCATAACACCCCAGGGCCAAACGAGCCCACGATGGATCTGTATGGTTGTGAAGTTCAACAAGTATTTCTGCCGCTTTGTCGCACGAGGTTTCTAGCGGCTCCGAATGGTTAGAAGAATGGATGATGGAATTTGATGAATCGAAAGAGTCAGAGAGCAGAGAGAGCATGCCAGTTGGGGTTGAGGAACTGTCGGCAGTTGTGTTGTCAAGCCTGTTTGCCGCATGCATTTGATGGTGAAATCCTTGTTCCTCTATTTGAAGCATGAAGACTCTTTCATTTTCTTCTCGGGGTTGTATCGATTCGATCTGTGGCTCGGTAGATGACGGTTGTTTTCGGCCAGGCGTCGGCAGGGTAGGACTTGACAACACCGACGCGAAGATCGGCACCGCGTCTCCAGCCATGCTTAATGCAGACCCAAAGGAGCTCTGGGACGGATCATCCGTCGAAATGTCTCTTGTTTGCAATAAACGTCCACATGTGTTGCATCGGTGTCGAGCATTCAATGCCCGATGGTCTTCCTCGGGGGAGGATAGATATTGCTCAATTTCATCTTCCGAGACCCCGTACACGCCAAGCAAGTTCTTTAGGCGTTGGTTCTGGACGTTGACGGCCTGAGCAACGCGTTGCATCTCTATAGAGGCCGCTACGCCCATCCGTTCGTACTCTTCTAATCGACTCTGTAGATCTGCAATCAGTTCTTGCCGCCGGGCTCTGGACCTGCGCTGAGCTTCGCGATTTTCTGCAATAGAGGCTGCGGTTTTATTCTGCAAAGTAAATGGTGAGTGGCAATTACCCATGTTGACTTGTGCAGCATACCTTCCGGGGCATTTTGCCTTAGACCTTGAGTTTGACGTATTAATTCGTAGGGATGACAGACAAGATAGCGTAACCTATATGTTTGGGTTGTGGCTTCTTGTGGTTTGTTATAACTTGACCCGGCTCGAAAATCTTGATGAAAGGTGCAACAACGATGGTGGTTTTTGTGGGCCAAGCCTAACAGGAGACCGGCTCCTGTGGGCCCACCAACGCCTTAAGGAAGCATCTGTGAGCAGAGTTACGCTTTCAAGGCAAGTGCTTTACAAGTCCTTACCAGACGGGCTACTCTTTTCCATTCAATGCAGTAGAGATCAAAATGGGCACCGACAAGTGCAAAATAAAACAAAGGGAAGAAGAAAATCATCATCTCTACGACCATCAACGAGATTCCGAACAGCCTAAGGCATCAATGGATCAAAACATGGGGTCAATAGCTCTGAGCCAGGGTAGTGACGTTATGCTGGGCTTTAATCACGTTTTCACCCCGCATTGCTTGTATTAAAGGAGAACCTACACGTAGTGAAATTCCTCACGCAACATCATTCTCAAAATTCGAATAAGCACCATGTCCCATGTAGTTTATCTAGTTCGACATGCAGAATCGGAACATAATGTCTCAAAAGACTTCTCACAAAGAGATCCACCTCTCACTTCATTGGGTCTTTCTCAAGCATCGGCCCTAGCCGATACGTTCCCTCATCCAGAGTCAATCGCAGTAATATTCACTTCTCCACTCACGCGCACCCTACAGACGACACTGGCTGGCTTCTCCCATATCTTAAGCAAACAATACCTTAAGAATAATGGCAACGAAGAAGGGGCCCGTCTCATTATAGACCAGGACCTACAGGAGCGAAGCGACCTTCCCTGTGACACCGGATCCAAACGTTCTGCGCTTGAGATAGCTTTTCCGCTCCTTGACTTCAGCGTCTTGGCTGAGGATTGGTATGCCAAGGGCGGTCCTCACGCGGCCAACGATTCTGCCGTTGCCGCACGAGCCAAAAGATTCCGAGAGACGTTGCGGGACACGGTTCAAGACATCCACGGGAGCGAAGATCTCGCGAATATGCCGAAAAATGTTGTCATTATCACACATGGCGTATTCATGAAGTATCTTTGCGAAGATATGACGATTGATCTTCCCAAGGCAGACTGGAGGACCTTTGCGATTGCTGATGGGGTTAATGGTGAAGCTGTATTGAAGCCTATTGAATAAACTATATATTTGGTTGATCTCGGAATCGAAGTATCAGATTGCCGATCGTGATGTGACTTATGTAATAATTGTAGCTTAAGGCTCTAATAAGAACCCCAAAAATAAGTCGTTATAATAATAACTTCGATGCCTGTCTTGTCTCTCTTGTAGCAGGATGAATAAGTCCACCACTGCTATTCCCATAACCTCATTCTCGATTGTGGGGGGGGGGGGGTGATAATCGGCGTGAGTCATTTGTTTCTGGGGTCCCAGTCACCCCCTCAGATTGATTGGCTCTAGGCGAAATTAACTTATTGGAATGTGGGGTAGCTGCAATTCAGTAACCCCATGTGCTATGTATGGAGCCGATGATTGGTTAATGCAACTGCGCCCCGATGGTTTCGACAGAATCTTTAAATTTGGTATTTATCTATATTTAAAAGGTAGCTGCTTGTTCAATGGTTCCAGTAAGATTCTGCCGACTTTCGATATACATCGCTTTGCTGCAATAATTTCCAGATGGCGATCCGGTCTGGTATGGTTCTGGGAAGTTGGCGACCTGGTAATCTGAAGGCCAAGTTTTGGAATACTATTAGCACCAATTACCACCTAGGTTTCACATCCTTCGGCGGCCCCCCAGTGCATTTCAAAATCGTAAGTACATGTACAATTCTCTAACGATGAGAACATGACGGCACATCTAAGCATTAAGAAATGATAAGCGCTAACGAATACCCTCCCCTGTCCCAGTTCCAAGACAAATTTGTTGACAAGCTGCAATGGATCGATGATCAAGTGGTAAGCAAATATCATTGGATGGATTATTTGTAAGAACAGTAACGCTGATCGAGATACAGTATCAGGAACTCTTCAGCGTCTGCCAGGCCTTCTCTGGCCCTGGCAGCACCAAGATGCACTACTGCATTAACCTGATTCATGATGGTTTTCTTCCTGCTTTACTGAGCTTCTTCATCTGGAGGTAGGCAACCGCAAACACACAGGCACTCTCCTTACCGAAGTAACTAATTCCTTCCTTAGCTTGCCTGGGGCCTTGGGAATGTATGGTCTCTCTATTGGCGTCTCCAATATTGGAGACACTCTTCCCGGACCCGTTTATGCACTTCTCTCCGGGCTCAACGCCTCAACTGTGGGCATTATCGCAGTCGCTGCTGTTCAACTATCAGAAAAAGCCATCACTGATAAAATAACTCGTATACTCGTCTTGCTTGGAGGTGCGGCCGGGATTCTGTACAATGCGCTCTGGTACTTTCCTCTTCTGATGTTCGTGGCCGGCTGTGCAACCGTCGTCCATGACTATCGCTGGCTTCATGGCCCTATCAAGACTATAGTCGGCTTGATGAAGAACCCCACAAAACGGCTTAGGGCACAAGAGCCGGAGTCCATCGAACTTCCGCAGGGGCGATCTGCCGATCAGGACAATAATGCCACTACCACTGCTGCATCGTTCGGCACTACCAGGGAACACGATGGCGTGGTATCCCGCACGAGCCAGGAAAACAATGCGCAGACGCTCCCAATCACCGAGAATTCACCTTCAGATGCTGACTCAGAACCACGCGTTATCCCACCAGAGCGGTCCCTCAACTTTTCTTGGGCCTTTGGCCTTGGCATTATTGTCTTCTTTCTCATCACCTTCATTGTGATTATGGTCCTTCGTGGCAAATTGCGGGTCAGGACGTACCTTTTCAGCTTCTTCGCCAATATGTACCTTGCAGGGACCATTATTTTTGGCGGAGGTCCTGTTGTCATTCCATTGCTCCGCGAATATGTTGTTGCTGAAGGCTGGGTTAGTCCGCGCGACTTCCTTATCGGCCTTGCGATCCAACAGAGCTTTCCCGGTCCCAACTTCAACTTTGCGGTATACCTAGGCGCTTTGACAGCAATTAATGGTGGATACAATTCGGCCGTCGGAGCAACACTTGGGTTTATTGGCATATTTGCTCCTGGTCTTATTACAGTTCATGGTACAATGGGTATTTGGAGCGCTATCCGTGGTCTGAGGTGGGTTAAGTCCCTTCTCAGGGGTGTCAACGCCGGTGCTGTGGGACTCATTTATACTGCGGTTTATCGCTTGTGGCAAATCGGATATATTGCTGAAAGTTTTCAGCAGGGAACGAGTCTGGCACAGGAGCCATGGTGGGTTGTTGTGACAGCATCGAGCTTTGTCTTCGGCTACTCATTCAACTTGAGCCCTCCGGTTATTATCATCATGGGCGCCGTCTTAGGCCTCATCTGGTATGCAGTTACGCTCACTTAGCGACCGCCATATTGTCTGTGGTGCTTAACCCCTTGTTGAGCTTTAGGAAAACGTTCATATAGCGAGTGTTGTGGAATGTTTCGTGTTTATATAATCCTGAATGCTATAATCTAATATTTGGTTGAAGGTCTTATCTTCACTTGATTTTGCAGTCATATCTAGGCTGTTTCTGCAACGGCGCAGATGCTGATGTTGGCATAACCTAGGTGCGACTGATGAAGGTCGATCGACCAGCAAGCAGGCTACCACAAATCCGAGTATCCGTTTTATATGTCGATTATGGCGGCCAAATTTCGGTTGAATAGGGCTATTGATATAGAAGCGGATGGCATTGAACCGTGGGAATGCGGAATAGGTGTGAATGGGGAATCACACGATGAAGATTGTGGAGTCGATTGCCCAAACGCTGCCTACAACTTGAACGGCCCTTACTGCAAAGCCAACCAAGTCCGAAGGCTCTCGCAACAACGATTGGACTATGAATGGCTGCCATCAATACTCAAATTCTACTGGCAGAATGGTGTTGACAGAGACAGTTTGGCCTTTTTGAGAAGAGTTGTTGTCCATTCATACGAGTGAGTGAAAAACACCCCAAATTTCAGACATAACTCTCATGCTTTACCTTAACCCTAGAGAACTACAATACGACACATATAGCGATGCTGCCGATCCTTATGGCAAAACAATACTGGCATTCTTGCTAGTTGAGGGCTGGCATATTCGGTACCTGCTAATATTGATTGGGTTCAGCCTTTCAAGTAGCCTATGCATCATTGCTATTGCTGCAGCTTTGACCCCGAGCCTTGAGATTGCGTTGACCGCGGGAAGTTACGCATGCGGGCTTGCTGGATGTTTGATTGCGGTCTTCACTTTTCTCAGCGCCGTACTGTAAGCTCAATGCTGGTGGTAGAAGAGCGTCTGGAGTAGTTAGGTCGCTTGCTTATATGTTTCGTGGGGCTTAGAGACGTTTGAAATTCTGGAGACGGGGAGGCTGTTGCCAGGAATAGAACGGCCACGTTTATTATTCATTGCAAAGATGTCTGGGTAGCCCAGAACCTCTGAAGTGGGGAATGCCATCAGGAATCGTTAGATGCAGAGGAGTTGGAGTTACTTGGAGTAGGCTCATAGGACTTCAAAGAGGGCTTCAAAAGATATATAGACGATGGTATTTAGCTCAGATGAAGCCCTCTCTGTTATATGTTGGACTATGATACCGGGTACAATGTATGTACGCCAATCACTGGATAGCAAATTGTTAGAGCTCTCCCACTCGTTAATAAAGGTCAGCCCAAGTCGCGGATAAGGGAACTTCATGGAATTTTGATGCCCTATCGAAAAAAGCCTAACATACCACGCTATTAACATCTATTATTTAATTTGGTAGAGTCGCTATCCGCTGTCGTTCAGCTCGTGTACCGGTGATCAAGTTCTCTTAAAGACCAGGCAGGCGTTTATATCACACCCCATCCATATCCTTATTCCCTCCGTGTCCCTGGTCACATGCGTGTATGACCTCTTGGAGTTGCCAACTGGGTGATTTGGAGAGCATGCATGCATGCCTCGGATCTATACCTGCGGCCATAGTGCGTAGCTTGATGCTCATGGTAGATGCTATTCGTTTAGCCCAATAGTATTGCAGCACTCCTTGGCTCTTAAGGTACATCCCACTTAAGTCCCCCGACCTAGAAGAGCGTGATGATATTAAGTTCTCCCACGATCCTTGAGTTTCGTACAGTAGTGCACTTGCAGGCCCGAGCCTCCTCGTCCGGGGAAACGTTGAGCAAAACGCTGACGGATCTCCGCCCACCCAAGCTGCTCCACTTCCTTCAGTTGTATGAGGAAGTTATCTTCATCATCTGAATACCTTACCCGTCTTGCTAGATCTTGCTTAGTTGTTTTTCTCGTCAGGACCGAGCGGGCTGAATCGGGGTTCATGCTGGTGGCATGCGGATGATTTGCGCAAAGGGGCCACTCAAACTGGAATTGAAACGTAGTCTTGCCATTTTCTGTAATGCGTTTCATTGAAACATTCTCGAGCTGCCATTCCTGAAACTGAGCAACAAACGCACTGGCATCAGAGGGAATAGATCTTGCGTGCGATGATGCTCGACTCAACAAGCCGAGTGCCGGCGTGCCACGCTCCCTCAATGAGTGTCCGACGGCTCTTGTGGATCGCTTCCTTTGGCGAGAATCCCGGGCACTGGTGGGGGTACTGCGAACCGAGCTGTAAGGAGATCCAGACGCCTTGCGACGTTTGTGACAGTGCTGTCCATCATCGGAGTCGTCTCCAGAACCATGCCCCTGATTTGGTGAAGGGCAATAGTCCTTGTCACGCACACATTCTGGAATATCGAGGTCATCCTCACTGCCAGAGCCTTCAGTATCTACGTCTCTGTCCTTATCTTGCACCGTTTCATGTGCATGTGAGGATCTGCGACGAGAACGGCGCCGGGGGGACAACTCCTGAGATGGGGGAGACAGTGGAGATAGTGGGGCTCCAAATGGCGATCCGGGTTCGGCTTTTGAGGACTCGGACTCAGCATCGCTGAATTTGCAGCTGATGTGGTCGTAATTTTGCTCGTGTTGTGATTCGAGTGGCAGGCTTTTCACGGGGGATGGAGTGTGGGCTCTAGAAATGGCATCATCGCGCGATGTGCTCGCACACTCTTCGCTATCGTGCAACGGCATGTGAGCCACTTCTCCAACGCCTGCAGCAATTTGACTGTATGCGTGCATCAAAGGGGACGTGGGAGTACTCTGTGCACCATCGCTGGAACGTTCGTCGGAGAGAGCATCGACCATCATAATGTCCGGCTCGCTGGTGGCTCCGGTGGCAAGCTGTTGTTCTTCCGACACGCTCCGATGTGGCTGACTCCCAGGGCTTGTAGGCGAGATGTTAAAACTGACATCTGTACATGCCGTCGCATCTCCAGCGAACGTGCGATTCGTCTGATAAGGAGACTGTTGATTCGGTTCAGGATCAGCAAGGGGACCCATGTGTAAGTTATGTGTCCAATCTGGGCTGTCCTCTCCTAGAGCTGGAGATACTGCTGGCGTAGTGTCCACACCGATGGCGGCCTCCGACTCAATTAGACTGTGTTTGGTACTCGTGCTATCTATAAACAGGCTGTTAGAGCTTATGCCAGAAAGGATGATAGTGTTAAAAAAAACTTACCCAAATGGTCTGCGATGCTGGTCGTAGATGTTGTGCATGATTGCGAATGGTCGAGATCTCGACCCTCATCGTCACCTTCATCTTCCGTATCAGAATCGTCGTCGGAAGAAATCCAAATAGCATCGCCCTTGGATTTTCCATCAGCCGACAAGTCTGCCTCTTTGTCGCTCAGGGATACAGCGACTGCTCGAGAAGCAGGGGGAGTGAAGCTCTGCTGCCCACTATCAGAGGTTGTCGAAATCATGTTTGAGTTGCTGCGTGTTTAGAAGTCAAGCGATATGGCGGTTACTCTGACAGGATGGTGAAGCTGAAAATGGGTGAGAGTTGTCCAGCTTATATGCTCGCAGCTGAACCACACGAGTCCCATTGTCCGAAGGAGCTCAGCCCGGTGTGTTACTGCCGTTTTCCCATTTCTCCAAGTCCAGGTTGAGTCAGAAGGAGGCAGACGCGTAACCGCTTCTCCTTTGTGCCAACCATTCCACTGCCGGGCCACACCGATGCAGTTGTGCTGGACAGATGATTCCCTCCTCGCTTCATCTTCTCGCACATCATCAGGGATCCACGTCACTCGCTGGCAAGGCAGAGCCCTCGGAGATGCCATATGAGGCAGGTCTTGATGGCTGTTAGGCTGTTCACGCAAAATGCGTGATCTCCAGTTGGTCAGACAGCATCGGGGATAGGAGTTTCCGGCAGTGTTAGCTCTTCCGCCTGACCGTGATGAAGCTCGACGCTGCGCCCGCACATGTTGATCGTCACAGCCGGGAACCTTTTGAGCCATTCAGAGACGTCGAGATGCCGTCATGAACGTCTCATAATCCCGCAACAGCGAGACTAACGGAGGTTGCATGCGTGCAACACCAACGGCTCGCCGTAGTGCGCGCGCCCACTTCTCCTCTCCTCCTTCTCACCCAATCATCCTTTTCGGCATGCTGGCTTGCCCCGTTTCTGAAGCGGCTGAGCCATCCTGATCAGCACGGAAACGGGTGAGCCGAGGACCAACAGGAAGTTATCAAGGAAGTTCCGCCCAAGCGGCGGGTAGTCTTGGCAACCCTGAACAGGGAATTGGTGACTCGGGCCCCGTCGAGCCACCCGTGATCAGACGCTTCACCCGCCCCACCCGCCGAGGGAACCAATTGGGGAGCAAGTTTGTGCCAGAGGCCTCTGGAGCCACCCGTACCAGGCTTAGGAGGCGAGTCCGAGATGGCACCATCCTCCATCATGCAGCAGGGGGCATCGATAGGCCACTGCGGCATTTCTGCCATTGGATGGGCGTCGTCTGGAGGCCTCACAAGAGAAACCACTGCCGTGAGATGCTCTGCTGCTGCCTGAGAATCATCACACTACTATGAGGCGGCCAAACCTGGGGAACGCTCTCTAGACTGTTGGGTTATTAGATTCTGAGAGAAGAGGACGGGAAAGGAAGACGTATGAGACACAGCGTAGAGTGAATAATAAAGTGAGAGGATAGAATGGAAAACAAATGCTAGAACATGTCTCATTCCCTCTGCAATCTGGCGTTGGGGGGGATGCAAGCGTCGCGATAGTCAATCCCTCTGGCGAGAGAACTTCGTTCCAGATGAGAACGATGACGTGGCAGGATGGGCGAAGGGAGCTGGGCTGAAGGCAGCGATGCTTGCAGAAGAGGGAGAATGGTGGATGCAAACGGGCAGAGCATGACAAGAAGCATAGGTCAAAGATACATGTTGCCAGGGTCGGAGGAGATTCTTGTCTTATATACATGAAGTCACGTGATGTGCTGTTGAGCGGGTGTGCGGCACGCGCGCCTTGCCTGTTTGGGCGGTGCCGCTAAACCGGAGGCGGCAGCAGCGTGTCCGCGATTACTAAATATCTTAATATTATAATATTACTTAATTATTTAATATAATATATCTTAAATAAGAGCTATTAATATATAATAATTTAAGGTTTTAAATAGAAAAACTAATTTATATTAAGTTTATATATATAAAATATATAAGGCATTAAACTGAATATATTAATAAAGGTTATATCTCTTAATAGTTAATAGTATATATTAGGCTTATTAAGATAAAGAAGTATTATTAATAGCTAGTAAGCTAGTTCTATTTAATGCTAAATAAATATATATATATTAAGGCTAATTTAATAAGATTAGTAAGGTTATTATAATAGTAATATTAATTTTAGTAGATTAGTATTAATTATATAGAATTAACTATAATTACAAAGTCTTAGCGCTAATTGTCTTTAGTAGGAAAGTTATTAATTAAAAGAAAATATAGGGTATATATAGAGGCCTGCTTAGGTTATAACAGGCTATACTTACTAACTAATATATATTAAATTTAATATTTATAATTAAATTCAGCAATTAATTATATTTAAGGTATTTATTTAAGAGAAAAAACATTTAATTATAACCTTATAGTTAAAGTTTATATATTTATAATTTCTTATAAAGATTATATTATATTTTATAGATAGACTAAAGTTTATTAATTACTTTAAATTTAATTTATTAGCTGCCCTATATTATATTAATATTGTTTTATATTTTATTAAAATTAATTTATTAGCTACTAAATAATATAAGAGATGCCATTAGGGTTAGGCCTTACTTAATTAATATATATAATAAGCAAGCAAGATAGATAAATAAGTAAGATAAAAATCCCTTACCTTATATTAATACTATCTAATTAATTAATTTTTAATTAAATAATATATTATAATCTACTATTAAGGCTTATATTAATCTTATATTTTAGGCCTATTAAAAAGACCTAAAATTAAGTCTATAATAAGTTATATTTCTTTATAATATCTCCTTTTAGACCCTCTATTACTAATCTTAAGGTTATTAGGCTTATATTAATTATATCCCTAATAATTAAAAACTAAATAATTAGGAGAAATAGGTTATAATTAAATATATTTTAGACCTAAATTTATAAGGATTTCCCTATTAGTATTATAATATTAAGGAAATAGTAAATTAACTACTTATTAAATATAATATCCTACTAATTAGTAAGTGCTAGGCTATTAATTTTATTAAGTAATAACTATAGCTTAAAATATATTCTTTTTATAAATATAACTATTAAAGAGCTTAATATAAAGATTTAATTACTATTTATAATTAATTTAGGCTTATATAAAATATAATTATAAAGTATAGTATTTAATTAAATAATATTTAGAATTTTAATAAGATTAGCTTTATAATAGGCATAATATTAAGTAATATAGTAATTACTAGCTTAAAAAGATATAAAAACCTAAAATTAATTTAGGTTAAAAATTAAAAATAGGTTACTATAATTTAAGTAATTAATATAAAAGGCTAAGTAATTAATCTATATTTAGTAATTATAGGTTAATATTACCTTATTAATTAGTATTAAAATAGTAACCTTTTAAGTATTTAAGTTATTACTATAATATTAAATAGCTAGATAGATAATAAAATAGGCCTTAATAAATTAAAGCACTTTAATTAATATATAATTAATTAATTAATTAATATTTATTATCTTTTAATCTTTAATAGCTATAAAAATTATTAATTTATTAATTTTTAACTATATTATAAAGTTAATAATATTATTATACTTTATATACTTCTTTATTCTTTATATTTATTATAGCTACTTAATATTAAGTACTTTAGGCTATTAAAAAAGGTATATAATTAAAAAATAAAGTAATTAATTAAATAGTCTATAACCTATATTTTTAAGCTTAAGTTCTTTTTAGCCTTTTATATTGCCTTTTAAAAGACTATAATTAAATTAAATATTAAAGAGGGTTTTAAAGAAACTAGACTTATTTCTTTTAACCTTAAAGTTATAATCTTAAAGCTTAATATATAGCTATAGACTTTAATGCCTATTAAAGAGATAGCCTAATAAGCTTAAGCTTAGACTTTAAGGACTTTAATAATAGTCTTTAAGGCTAGATTATAGTCTAAATACCTTTAGGGTTAAATTAAAAGATATTATAGTAGCTTTCTAGAGTTAATCCTTAAAGCTCTTTAGTCTTTTATAAAGGCAGTTATAAGAAATATATAAAAGACTGCCTTATTAAAAGCTAAATACTAAAAGTTTTATAAGGCAAATAATATATTTAGCTAGCAGTATAAGGTAAAAAGGATATATTTATAAAATAGAAAGAGCTTAATTATATAGAAAGGTTAGGATTTAATTAATTAAATAGATATAAGTGTATAAATATTAGCTAAATTATTAAAAAGTAGTAATTAAAAAAGATTAATTAGGCTAGGTATTTAATAATATAGTATATATAGTATAATTAAGTATAATATAAAGACCTATTAGGTAGTTCTAGAGGCATTTAGTAATAAGTAATAATTATAGTAATTAATTTTAATTAATTAGATAGTTTATTATATTTATATTATAATTTATTTTAAGAAGGTTAAGATTTTTATCCTACTTACTTATCTATCTTGCTTGCTTATTATATATATTATATAGTTAATATTTAAAAATTGAATATTTTAACTTTTAGCTATATAGTATAGGTATTTACTGATTTATTGCACTTACCGATTTATTATACTTAGTAGTGGGATATATTAATATCTAATATAATATAGAATGGAGTAATCTTATATTAACCTTTCTACCCTCTATATATCTCTGAAGCTTTAGTTTTCTCTGGGGAGGGGTCCTTAGCTATGATTTGTGGCTGTGGTTCCACACTAGCTATGGGCTTGTTTTTGCCCAAGTCCACGTACTTTTTGGCATTGTTCTTGCTCCAATCCGTGGTAGACATCGCAAAATTGCTTGACTGCGGATAAAACAGGCTCGCTAGTACACGACCAAGCGATGTCTGATTCACCCAGTAACGCATCTTCTCAATGTTTGACCGCCCAGTCAAGAGCGACAAAGCCGCCACGGCTGCGATGATTGCCATACACGCGAGGAGCAGGAATGCGGGTATACCGTATCGCCATCGGTACCGGATTCTGTGCACCAGTGGAACGACAGACACATCCGCTGCGTGTTCCGGCTGTGCATTCCTTGCCCCCAGCACGCCTTTTGTTCCAACCACGGCCGACGCGACAAAGTCAGTCCAGAGCAGTTTTAGAATAGTCGAGGCGGAATCTGGGGACCTCGACAAATCCCGCCATTTCAGCCACAGGCTCATACTTGTCTTGCCGACAACGTCGTTGGGAGACAGGCTATTGGCTACCGAAGAGAAGATGGTTATGAAAGCACCGATGGGGGCAATCGA